CTTGTGTTGTAACTGATCTCAGCACACAGGAAGTGTCCCTGTTTCTTGCTAATTAGCCTTCCCAGTGGTATCCATTGCCACAAACAACAACTTGAATTTATATAGCGCCCATCACAAAGCATTCATTCACTCCTTTGCCCCTCTCTGACAGCAATAACCTCTCATGTCTAAAAGCTAAGACATTACAGGCCACCCACCAAATCCAAACACTGTTAACACAAAGAAATCGTCATTATAATTATTGGAGCCAACTAATTTCCAAGGAAGATCTTGCTTACCTTCCCCCCACCTCCCCAAAAGATAATCAACAGCTGGGATGAGTTCCCCGGGAAGCATAGTTGTGGTCAGGACTCTGAACTCATTTAAGAAACTGATGATCTTGGTAAATTGGAAGTACAAAGTTAGATAGGAATTGTCCTCACCAAAGGGAAGGCTGATCTCCTGCTACAAACATTACATTTCTAAAGCTTCTCACTCTGGACTGGAACACTTGTCACAGACTAATAAATTCAGCACAATTAAACACTGTGTCTCTGCGCTAATAATAATGTACAAATCATGAAGATAATTAATTTACTGTGCAACGCAACCAATAATCACTTATATACAGCCTATTTACACTAATGACCTGAGCTCGCTACGGGTTCTTAAGCTGAAGTGATGGGATGCAGAATTGCCTCATTTTCAATGTTGGAATCGCAGTGGGGCAGCTGTCTTGAAAATGGATCATTTTCACTGTGATGTATATGTTCTTTATGATGAAGTATGATGATCTATTTTTCCTGAAGTGGAAAGACAGGCAGGATTCCAATAATGGCCTCACCAACTTCCATGGATTGAGTGACGAATTTAAGTATATTTACTGATGATTGGTGAGTTTCTCTACTTCAGTCAGGTTTGTCCATTGTATGTGCACTATTAGCCTTGCTTCATGTTGCACGCAGTCATACGGTTGAAAATGTAAATTATGCTAAAGAATAATAGTGCATTTAATGAATGGGATTTTAAGCAAATTAATTGAATACCCAGTATTAGGGACCACAACTCTAAAATGCCTCACCTGGTCATCAGAATGTCTCAAAGCACTTCACAGGATTTAGCGTAAAATGTAGTGACTGTATTTGTAAGCCAACATGACGGCTGTTTGCACACAGCAATGTCCCACAAAGAGCCACTTACTCTGAATGTATTCAGATTTCCCTTCTCTCTGTGTGCAAAGTGGCTGTCATGTTCACAAAAAAAAGTCACTACACTTTACAGTAAATCTTGTGAAGCACTTTGAGGCATTCTCCTGACCTGAAAGGCATTGCATCAAATCAAAACAAAACAGATGCCTGAGAGCGTTCAATGATCAAAATTATAATTCAATTAATAATCACTGCTACAGCACTGAAATGATACAGCACCTTTCAGATCAGGAGGCCATTTCAAAGTGCTTCTTCATAGGATTCACTGGGAAGTGTAGTGGTTGTATTACAGCAGTGTCCAACATACAGCCCCGAAGTGAATGTTTTTATTTATATTGACTACGGCACTACCTCACCCCTCACGCTGCTGAAACCCTGGTCCACGCCTTTGTCACCTCAAGGCTGGACTATGGGAACTCTCTCCTCGCCGGTCTTCCCGCCACCTCCCTCCACACTGCAGGTCATTCAGAACTCTGCAGCTCGTGTACTGTCCCGCACCAGGCTTCGCGACCACATCACTCCCACCCTCACCCTCGCTCACCTCCACTGGCTCCCCATCCCCCAGAGGATTGATTTCAAGATCCTCATCCTCACCTACAAGGCCATTCACGGCCTTGCTCCCTCCTACCTCTCCAACCTACTATCCCCCTACCTACCTGCCCGTACCTTGGGACGTCCTCCTGACGTGAAAGGCACTTTATAAATGGAATCTTGTTGTTGTTGATCTTGTTGTATATTACTGGAGGGGAAGGTGTGCAAGCGTGGAATAGAACTGAATGAGAAACTACCTCCTTCAGAAAGCGTCGGGAGTAGGGGTTCATTGAGATTCAACATCGATTTAAACTGCACACTGGATAGCAAAGGCAGAGAACATACAGCGTGGACTCAAAGCATTTTGGATATTATTAGAGCAAAGTGGCCTGATAACATACTGTGCAACAAAGTGTTGGTCAAGCATGGCTGTACTCACAAACGGTAAGATTGCCATTTCTCAGGTAACAATTCCTTGGAGCAGTGAACCTGAGGTAACGGTTATATCAGAAACATAGAAATAAGATGAACTCCTTCCCTAGGGACCATTCAAAGGTTGCACAATATATTCCAGCTCAGTTTGGAAATACTGTACTCCCCTTCATCTCAAAAAGTACTTCCAGAATTTTTTTGCCGGCTCTTCGAAATTGATTTTGCTTTTAAAAACTAGCAAGACGCAGTGAGATGTACAGCACACATTCACCTCTTCAGCTTTCAATCAATAATGTCACTAATGAAAACCGGTGAGGTTTACGTCATTCCCTTGGGGACCGTTCAACTCTGTAGGAAGATGAAAACCGAGCTAAAGACCAATGCATTATTAGTTCAACAATTTTAGTTTCTTGTCTGGCCTGATGCATCTTATTTGATGCTCAGGTCAATTTTGGTCATAGACTGAGAAATCGGCATACAGTACTGACCATAATTGGAAATAGCTTGACTCATTGTTGTTTTTGTATTGATTTCTCATTGTATTTAGTCATTCAAATTTAATTTTCTTTTGAGTTTAACTGCCTCCAAACTCCAGCATTTTTATGAATATAGTCCTTATCCATCAATCATACAGATAAAAAGCATTACAAAGTCCATGTGCCTATAAATGAGATTATGGAGATTATAGATTAACCAATAGAGTCTTTAAGAGGAAAAAACAACAGCGCACTCCACATAGTAGTACGGAAAGTATTGTTTGGAAATGTGATGCAGTCCTAGGCTATAACACACAACCTTTAGATGAAGTAGTAAAGAACGGAAATGAGGACCTCCAAACTTCACAAGAATGTTTCACAGTGGAAGGACATCTCAGTGTTCACAGGATATACTGCAAAATGTAGTGATTGTATGCTTTGTGGGCAAACACCCGCAATAACCCCTCCATTTAATTCTTCACATAACGCTATAGGGGCGGGAAGAGGTTTCTGATCAGATTTCAAACCCATTCTGTGTGTATTAATAATATACAATAAAATGAAAAATGAGAAACTTGCTTGAAAAATAAACCACCTAGATTCTAATTTCCTCTGTGGACTCGTCTTATTTCACAATATCCCAACACTCTCGACCTCTTATTCCAGTTCATTTATAAAGTCCTAAGTGCTGGATCACCCCTTCAGTTTGTCCAGGTCTGTAATGGAGTTTAATATGAATGGGAATGTTTCCATTCATATATTGCAGTGCAGATTTGCTGATCATTCCCATGAACGTTTATAGTTTTGACACTGGAAATGTAATCCTCCCTACCCCAACCCCACTCTATATGGGGTCACATAGAGCTTGTCACCTGTAATAGGATTTAGCAAGAGGTGGAATATATTGGCCTTTTCAATTACTACTGCTGGGTTTTGCACATTAGGCAAGAGAGTGACAGGATTAGAAATATTGACAAGATGAATACTTAATGCATGAAGTAGTTACTTTTTCTTCAAACAAGCTTCCTCTTCCTCATTTTGTTGTATGATGTAAAATAATTAATATTCTGGCATTGCAGCGAGTTTCAAACTAACCAGAAGATAAGATGCTGTCTTTTGAGAGTGCATCTCAAGGCTTTCTCCCACACACTGCAAATATGAGACACTCACAGCTTCTAGGATGCAGGGTAGACCTGGGGAAAACACTCTCAAAACAAAGGCAGAAATCGATAGAGAACATTTTAAAGCTGTGGGGATAAAAAAAACTTTTAAAAATTACATTGCAAATGCAATTCATGTTTGCTCTTGTAAGGTTCCTGTTCTCATAATTAAATTCTGATGAAAGAGCCTCCAGATCTTTATGAATAGATTAGGTGTGACAGGATTTTGAAGCATGCGTCCCAGCAATGCAGATGTGACTTGACAATGTCTTTGCACAACACTGAATGCCATTTAGGATCATTCTAGTCTGTTCACACAGTGTAGCCTTTCAATGTGCCTTTCTAATCGCATTTCCCATTAAAGATGCACATCGAATAGGTTCACTGCACTTTGAAATTAGGGTAGAATCATCCTCATTGTTACTCAGTCAAGAGATTTTTTTGCTAAATCCGCAAATGATGAAACGTTTGAAATACCCACTTCCACATTTTTTTAATATTAAAAACGTTCCCTTTTCCCCACCCCCATTCCTTCTTGTTGTGCAAGTTATGATGCTGGTATTTTTATTAATCGATTAACATTAACAATATATTACGGTTATTTTGCTCTGTATATTATAGAATAACTATTATTAATAATATCTCAAAGCACTTCACAGCATTTTTACTGTGAAGAATAGTATTTGCAGGCGAATGGCATGAATTTAAAATGTCACATCCTCAAATGAACTGCAATGGTAATTTTAAACTGCGATAATACCTGCAGTTACATGAAACTGTTTGTATTCTGTACACAATTCAATTTGCACTTGGCTGCTTTCATTCCTTTTTCTTTCATTAATGTGCTTAGATTAGCTTCTGACTCGGCGTGTGACAATGTAAATCAAATAAAGTAACAAAACACCCTCTGAATTAGAACTCTGGTGACTTTAACAAACCTATTTAACTGCGCATGCGGCCAAAATACTGCAGTGTAACAACTCGATGTAAATGTAAACCATCACTGCATATTGCATTCTTGCACTAAAGGTCCCCAACTCAGAGTCCATTAACTTTTGTCATTCACATACACCAATGCCACGGTGCACATACATAAGAGCTTTTTTTTTGTCTTCACTTTAATGAGAACAAAGACTCACGATTTCGTTTCATCATGTTATACCAAATGCCGCAGCGGGAATTAGATTCGACCTGGACTCAATGTGTATGTTTTTTTTTGTTTATTCAGATAAAGTTTTCTTGAAAAAAAGAAAAAAAACGAACAAAAGCAGAACGATGTTTTCTGCCGTGACAATTTCTGAAAAATGATCAGCGATTCAAGATAATAATAGCTCAGTGCAACATTGAGTTCCCACTTCTTTGGGGCATTTCCTTCAACCGCTGCAGTCCTTGTGGTGATCATGCGCCTACAAACATACGGTCAATTCACTCAGCACTATATTCTGTGAAGCACTTTGAGACGTCTCGAAGATGTGATAAGGCGCTACATCAAATGCAACGATTATTATTATTATTATTTCTACACTGTTTTTTTTTCTGTGTACCTGAGACTGCTGCATCCATTTGGCTGGGCTTCACATTTAGACAAAGTGTTATTGCAACTTCCACAACTGCAAGACTGTGATTTAAAGCAAGTTCTCTCCATTAGCAATTCAAGCTGGAATCAACAGACATCAGGGTTAAAAATGGATAACTACTCATTAGCACATCTGAATCCCACAAAAACTGCTACTTGTTAACATCAGTGTATTTTTGTGATATTTAATAGAAAATACGTTCACAGGCTTATTGTGATTAGAATACTGACAATCTGTTTCTTTTATGACAATTTCCACCCAATAATTTTCGCAGAATCACACCAACTCAACACCCGTTGAAGATAAACTCTATGGAAAGCACAAAAGAAGATCACTGTGGAAAATCAAACCTTGAAATATTTGTATAATGAGAAACATTCTCCCAGCATTCATAATGTATTCTGAACCTTTTTTGAGCTCTCTTCTCTGATAACCACATTGTGCCTTGAACAAGGGCTCCCCCTGATGGTTACGCAGCCTTCATCTACACTAATAAAGACGAAATGTCTGTCTGCCAATAACTGATCGACATAGAGTGAGCGCGTGAGTGTGTCAGGAGGACGGAAGAAGAGGGTTAAAGTGAAGCCTGAGACCTGCTCAGACTGACTAAGCGCCAGGAGTCAAGAGAGAGAGAGATTATGGAAGACTTATCCTGTGTAGCATTTTGGGATGTCTCAACGACATGATAGGGCATCATATATCAAATGTCAGGATCATCATTATTATTGTATTTAGAACCAGAATACAGTTGAGTCTACTTAATGTTATAATCTTTCGGATAACATTATACTGTGAGGTGTTGCAAAATGTGAAGTAATGCAGCAACGTGCGCTGTTAGGGAACAGTGTTTGGTTGAGGCATTCGTCATGAGGCACACGAAGGGAAATGGTTCCAGGAGTAAAGGTTGCACAGGAGGGAATGTGGTTAACGTGCAAGTTAAGTTACATTGACAAGAGATGAACAACGGGATGAACGGATGGAACAAAGGCAGAAGTCGTGATTAGTCATGATGAATCATTTGCGTTCTCAAGGATAAAGAACAAGTTAGGGATAAAAAATAGAAAACAGAAGACAAAGCGGACACTTGGGAGACTGAGTTGAGTATGTGTCTGACAGTGATAAAGCAATCTGGGGACAAGCAAGCAAATTTGACATTAACATTAATCCCTGAACTAACTCAATGAGCAATATTTTTGGCTTGAATAGAGAAGTGACACAGTGAAGGACTATGTAGAAATCAGAGCCAGATTATCACATGTTCGAAGAGCCAAGAAGTCTTGTGACCAAAGGCTTCAGACACTCTCTCCCAGAAGAAGTAACTGATCGCTACGCAGCCTCTGAGTCACTATACTGGTAAACTTTATGAATCAATATAAATTACAATGCCGCTTTGACTCTATTATCTATCGATGATATCAATAAACCGGTTGATTTGTGTAACCAAAACCGGCTTTGGTTATTGTGTCACAACATCCACTCAGACTTCTTTTTGTTCTGCATAGAAACCTGTACTCTGTTGTCTGTTAGAGCCAGAAAATGCTTTATTGCTGAGGCTGTTGGATGTGGACCGTGTGAAATGGTAACTTGATTTAAAAGTGGTAGCTTGGTGAAGCCAAGCAAAATGTCCTCCTTCAGCAGGCTGCATCCACTAGAAGAGAAGGAGAAAAGGAAACAGTTTAGTTACACCAACAAAAAAGCGCTGAAAATAATGGGAGAATTCTCTTGCTTTAGAGATTCTGTTATCCTATGGAAAAAAATTATTCTTTTTTAAATTAATTATTATAATAAAGGATCTGTTGAAAATTGTACACGCAAGAAATTGTATCCTAAAATAATATGGGAGAGAAAAGCGCCTTTTGGAGTTCCTTGCAGATTTTTTTATTAAAGGGAATTTAATAACACAGAACTACAGCAAATAACTAAAGAGATATTGCTATCAAGTCCTGTCTCAAGACCCTCCTCTTCGACCAGGCCTTCGGTTACCTTCCTGATTACCCTGGTTACCCCTCCTGATCCCAAACCCTTGTTTGGGTCCAAATCCTTGACTGTCCTGCGCCTTGGGAGGTCCTCCCGATGTGAAAGGCACTAGACAAATGTAATTTGTTATTGTTGCTGGTAAGTGATATCTATGGTACGCGAGAAAATTAGGAAGAAATTTCCTGTCAAGTGAACTCAGCCTTTCTACTCCAAATCAAGCTGTGCACAAATTAGCTGTCGTGTTCGCCTACAAAATACATAGACTCTACACTCTACAGTAAAATTCTGTGAAGGGTCTTGATACGCTTCGACGATGTGAAAGGCGTTGTATCAAATTTAAGGATTATTATTATTTTGCTCATACTTAAAACTCACATGCATATAATATATGGCAATTTTCCCCCATATAGTGACACGGATACTGTCTAATTAGCTCACCTAAGATCCAGAGTCCGTAGAGAAGGAAACTGTTCAGGCAGTAGTTTTAACATTGTTTCAGTAACACCACTGCACAGCGCTATGTTAAGATGTCTAAGAGATTTCCCCGAGGACTTAGACAGAAATTGCATATCCACATCAGAGAGTCTTGAGCTCGTCAAATTCAGACTTTCAAGTTGTGAAGGCATCAGCTTAGCATATTCTTCAAATGGACCAGTCCCTAGCAGGAAATAGGAATATTACAAGTTTAGCATAATTTTTGAAAAAAAAGAAAATCCAGTTCTCTATATATACCTTAATTAGAAGGGAAAAGATACTTAAATTGAATTACATTGAACATTTCACCGCAGAAACAGACCGTTCGGCCCAACAAGTCTGTTCAAGTGTTTAAACTCCACACAAATCTCCAGCCCTCCAAGACCCCCTCTATTCCCTAAAAACAGGCGGTCTATCTATCTACTCCAGGCTGTGGATACAAATTGAATTTTATCTTAAACTTGACAGCTAAATTAATTGTTTTTAAATAATAACGATTATTTTTAAAACGCTTGAAAACTTTTGTGAGACAGAAAATTTCAGTATCAACTACACAGTACGCTTCAAATTGTTTTTAAGTTTTTAAATGGAAGAGCCAATCCTCAAACCTATAGGGCTATTGGAAGGGAAGATGTGAATGTGCAATGATATCTGACACTTAGCAAGAGAAGCACAACAAACAGGGATATTTGTTAACTGTGGAGACACATTAGTTATGGCATTTGGTTATGTTTCATTACTTACTAGAAACAATCTGACCTGGAATCAGGAGGCGCAGTAAAATTATCGGATTCCTTACTTTTAAGGGAACAAATGTTACAAGACGTGAAGAAAGCATCTTGCCCCAAACTCTACTTACAGGAAAGATCCAAGTCGGAGACGTGTGGCAAGTTCTCCAGCAAGCTGTGCACAAAGTTTCTTTTTGAATAAACCCGCAACCAGCTACAACTGGCGGACAGGCTACGGACTGTAGACAGCTGCTTCAAAGCTGCCTCCGACAATGGCTGATTGATGCTGTCCAAAACACTCAGTTTATCTAACTGAAGACGTGCAATGCAAAGTGGCTCAAAATCATTGCATCCTGTAAGCAAAAAAAATACCATTTTGTTTTTAATTATCTCATTTAAAAGAACGCTTTCAGAGAGCCGCACAGGCACAATGGGCTGAATGGCCTCCCTCTGTACTGAAAATCTCCGTGGTTTGATTTAAGAAGTTAACAGTGGCACAGACTCAATGGGTCGAATGCCCCCGAACCCCATGCCTCCCCTCTCCCGCTCCATTTTTCTGGGACATCAGGTCGCGGTGAACATCAATTCACGTGTGACTGACGTTGGCAGTGGCCCTGATAACCCGGAAGTCAAACAGCTCTTAAGTTGCGGGATGCAGGCTGACTTTTTAAAGTGCCCACATTTTGGAATGTTTTGTTGGAAGTGAGAGTCGCGGTGCCCACACACATCCCAACCACATTAAACAAACCCGCATTGTGGAGTCCTGTAGCTCAGTGGTTAGAGCACTCGCTTTTGCAAGTGAGAGACCTGAGTTCAATTCCCGGCAGAGGGCCAAACCTCAGGCAAGTTTCCTTACTCCACACAGAGCCTAATAATATTCCCTCCAAAACAAAACAATAATAAATTGGTCATTTTCAATCTACGACTGTTTGTGGGACATCGCTGTGCGCAATTGGCTGCCGCGTTCGCCCACAAATATACAGTCAATTCACTTTACAGTGTGTTCTGTGAAGCGCTTTGGGACGTCCTCCCGACGTGAAAAGCGCTATATCAAATGCAAGGATTATTATTATTAATGTAACAGAGATTCTACTGCATTTCTTACCCATCTCTTTACAGTCCTCCACGTCTGGTGGGGTGAAGCACAATGACAGATCACTCCTCATGTCTATATTACACAGGGACAGTGCTCTCAGCCTTGGCAATCGAAACAAAATATATCGAAGCGATGATAAAGAAAGCTGATCCAGAGTATACTGAAGCACTAATACTCGTAGTTGTTTTAATTTTACAAGGTGCCAAAGGGAGATCTCGGGGCAAAACTCTGAAGAACACAAGACCAGGTGAGTCAGTTGTTTAAAGGTACCAAGTTCCAGAAGCAATTCTTGGTTTAAGATGAGCTCACTGTTGCTCAGCTGCAGTTTCTGCAGTTTTGCAAGCGAGCTCAAAGAGTGCAGCTGTTCTGGTTTGAGTTTTGCATTAATAGTGACAGCTATCAGGTCAGGAAGTAAACACACCAGCTTCTGCAAGTCCGTCTGTGTAGCTTTCTTAATATCCACAGCTCTTATTTTCCTTTTCTTAAGGGTTCTCCAAAAATGTGAGTCGCAGCTTTTTATATTTTGCAGGATAACTGTATTGAATAGCCATAAACTAGGATGATCCACCAGTTGCTGCAAGTACTTGCAGGTTGCACGAACGCTGGCCTTCTCCTCAGCTGTTAGGTACCTAAACACCTCCAACAATATTTCCGGTGGTAGGTCCAAACATTTACGACCCACTTTTGCCATAACGGTTGCGAGATCCTAATTTCTCTCCAGGTCCGTGTTTCTACAATACAGCAAAGGAAAACAAAAACCAAAATACTTTAGGCTTTGATTTGAGCTCAATAATTTGCAGCAACAGCAAAAGCTCTTTCATTCATTTGTTTCCTTTAGTGTGTAATTATTTCTGGTGGACGTTGAAGGTCCCTCAGCTCAAAGAGAAGGGAGTTTCACACACACACACACACCAGCGCGGCGCGGTTGACCAAATGCACAGTCAAAGAGGTGTATGTTGAGACGGGCCTTGAACGAAGGACTCGGAAGTCAGTGCCTTGGGACGTCCTCCTGACGTGAAAGAGCACCGTTAAGCGCTCTGAGGCGCTACCCCCGCGTGGGGGTGGGAGGGGTGTGGGCGTGGGAGGGGGGGTGTGTTGGGGGGTGGAGTGTGGGGGGGGGTGGAGGGGGTGTGTTGGGGGGTGGAGGGGGAGGGGTGGAGGGGTGGGGGTGTGTGGGGGGGGTGGTGGGGGGAGGGGGGGTGGAGGGGGGTGTGTGTGGGATGTAGCGGGGTGTGTGTGGGGGGGGCTGTGTTGGGGGGGTGGAGGGGGTGTGGGGGGGGTGTGGGGGGATGTAGGGGGGGTGTGGGGGGGTGGTGGTGGGGGGAGGGGGTGTGTGGGGGGTGGAGGGGGGGGGGGTGGGGGGTGGTGTTGGGGGGTGGAGGGTGTGTGGGGGAGGGGTGGGGGGAGGGGGTGTGTGTTGGGGGGTGGAGGGGTGTGTGGGGGGGGGTGGGGGGGGGGTGGTGTGTTGGGGGTGGTGGAGGGGTGTGTGGGGGGGGTGTGGGGGGTGTGGGGGGGGGTGTGGGGGGGTGGTGGTGGGGGGAGGGGGTGTGTGGGGGTTGTGTGTGGAGGGGGTGGGGGGGTGTGTGTTGGGGGGGTGGAGGGGTGTGTGGGGGGAGGGGTGGAGGGGGGGTGTGTGGAGGGGGTGGGGGGGTGTGTGTGGGGGGGGGGGGTGGGGGGGAGCTGGGAGGGGGGGTGTGTGGGGGAGGGGGGGTGGAGGGGGGATTACAAACCATATAAACGACAAACTATAAATTATAAACGATGCACATCTGCAGTTCACCCCAAACATTGCAAACCAGTGAGAGAGTTTGGATGGATCATCATCATCGACGACAACCACAACAACAACAACAACAACTTGCGCTCACACAGCGCCCCCTCACGCAGCGGAGCGTCCCAGAGCGCCTTCACGTCGGGAGGACGTCCCGAGGCGTCGTTGAAAAGACACCAAAGAAAACGTAAAGAAAAAAAAAAACAAAAAAACCCCCCAATGATTTGCTGATCGCCGCGCGGCCCTTCACCTGGAAATTCAGCTTCGGCTCTGGTCAGAAGGGCACATTCTCCCGGAGCCGCGGAGCCGCCCCCACGTGCACAGCCATGTTCACACGTGTGACGCTCTCTCTCTCTCTCTCTCGCCGACGTGAACGTTGGCGTCATTACGTCAGGACGTGATGACGCCGATCAGGAACTGGCGCTCACAGGGGCAAGCGGTTAGCCAATCAGGAACTGGCGCTCAGAAGGGCAACCGGTTAGCCAATCAGAAACTCGCCATCAGAAGGGCAACCGGTTAGCCAATCAGAAACTCGCCATCAAGTGGGTGGGGGGGGGGCAACCGGTTAGCCAATCAGGAACTCGTCATCAAGTGGGTGGGGGGGGAACCGGATAGCCAATCAGAAACTCGCTCGAACAGGGTGGGGAAGCGGTTAGCCAATCAGGAACTCGCCATCAAGGGAGGGGGGGGAACCGGTTAGCCAATCAGGAACTCGCCATCAGGGGGGGGGGGGGAGTCGGATAGCCAATCAGAAACTCGCTCGAACAGGGTGGGGAAGCGGTTAGCCAATCCGGAAAGCCAATCAGGCACTGGCTAGCAAGGACACCGGCCAATCAGAGACTCGCAAGGGGGCGGGGAGGGGGTAAAGAACCCGCGCCGCCAATCAGACGATCGCGAGCCAGATTCGAATTTGAAGTGAAAGAGCCGTTAGCGGTGGCGAATCTCGCGCGTCAGGTGAGCAGCTCCTTCCCGTCCCCGTCCCCCCCCCCTCACCCGGGAAACCTGACGAGCCTTTTCTTCCCTCAGCGTCACACCTCCCGTTTTCCTTCGGTAAGAAAAGACGAGCGAGTTTTAAGTGGGAGGTTTTTTTTTCGGGGGGGAAGCAATAAACAACGTGACCGACCGCACCCGCTCAACAAAAGGCGCGGCGCTGCGTAACCGCGGGGCGAAAATGTCGGCATCACAGGGGGTGGTGCTCACAGCCCTGTACCTCAGCATCAACTCGTGCTATTACAGACTGTGAATATATATATATATATATATATGTGTACATTTTAAACCCGTGTTTGGGTGGGTTTGAGTTGTCTCAGTATCTCAGCCTTTCATGTGGGAGGGGGACAGTCACAGGATTTTTTTTTATTGCAAACTGCAGTAGTGACTACTGTGTTTTGCGGTGGTGTATATATATATATATGAGGGAAGCTGTCACCTTAGTACTAATGCAGAAATCTCCCTGTATCTGTCTGTCTTGTGTCTAAGTGTCTCTGTATGTCTGATTTTATTGTAATAATTTGAGATGGCGCCTTATCGGGTCGTTGAGATACCTCAAAGCGCTTCCCAGAATATATTATAAAGTTATGTCATCATATAGACTGTGTATTTTGTGACTGAAACGCGGCAAACAACTGCACAGCGGTGTCCTAAGTAGTCGTGGATTGAGTCATTTGTTTTTTTTTAAAAAACATTTACCGATGATGGATAAATACTGGTGAGTTTCTCTACGTTTTTGTCCGTCACCTCATGCCCTCCACCATTGGGGCGGCTGCGCCTTCAGCCACTACGCCACAAATCTCTGGAACACGCTTCCTCTCTCCCTCCACCTTGCCCCTTCATTCCTTATTTTCAGGTGGTGCCTGAAGACCTTCCTATTCAAACTTGCCTACAGTCTCCTCTCCCTGGCTCGGGAGTCATGCTCCGCCACCGTCAGGCGCTTGGGACGCTCCCTGCGTGAGGAGAGCTATGCAAGTTGTTGTTGTGTGTGGAAGGTGTGTTATTCCCCGGAAAGACATCTGCCGATCAACTAACAACTGGGTTCAAATATCTCCGACTCTGGGGCCAGTATGTTAATATTGTAGTTAACATGTAGTTATCTTACATTCTAAGGAAATATGTAATTGAGGGAATTATCCTTGAATAATAATGGACAGTTGGCAAAAGTGTAATGGATAATTGAGACCAGTATTAATGGATTAGATCTGGTGTCTAATCTTTCAACACTATATGATTATCCTGTTACCTATTACACCATTATTTTTGTGCTCAAAAAAAATGTTGTCTGGATTTTAATAAGGAAAGGTGGACTAAGCACAATGAGGTTCTGATAGTTAACTGAAAGCCATGTTTTCTTTGCAGCAAAAGTAATGGATTTGGCACCCAACAAGGATATCCGGCAATTAAGACATAGGGTTAGTGTTTTGTTACTTTACAGATGCTTTTGTATTGTATAAATTCCCCATGTAAAAACTGGTGGTGAAAAGGCCATTCATCAGATTTTCGATATGGTTTCTGTTACTCCACGTAAGGAGTTACAAGTTCTTAAAGATGTTGGAATTGACAGAGAACAAACTACGCCTTGGAAATCAGTACCTCTTCATTTGATCCCAAATGGAACTCCATTAAAGGATGTATATAAATTTCTGCCGGATCCAACTGAATATTCAAGAAAAACGCAACAAGAAAACATCTGTCCTACATCTCAAGCAGCAATTAGATCATTGAAAAATGAACAATATGTGAAGAACACTCAATTTCAGTCTACAATGCTGGAACATGGAGAAGGGGGGTTTGAGTTTATCTCCCCTGAACTCAGTGACATACAGACTAATTCTGAAGAAAACCACAAAAGGAATAACATTCATTTAAATGCGGCACATTTGACTGGGTCTGCACAGGTCAGGCATGTGGTGCCTGAAAGTCCAGCTAAAATATTCCAGAGAATGAAAGATGAAATTCATCGAGAGCATCTTCAACAGTATACAAAACAGGCTTTGAATTTAAAGGAAGGTAACCAATGCCCCTCTGCTCCAATGAATGGACATGCTTTAAATCACACTTTTTCAGGTATGACTAGCCTTAATGAAATACAATCTATGATGAAAAGCAGTGTATGTTTAATATAGTAGTGTGTTTTGTGTGATCACAACAGCCAGTTGACAGTATTGGGAATATTATTATTATTGTGAATGGAATGTCATTTGATGTATTACATATAATTGCATGCAATTCCAAGCCACAATCCCTCCGTCTTGACCTCTCTTTGCCCATCTTCAAATTCTGAAGACTTTTCTCTTTGGGCGTGCCTTCGATCACCTCCCTTCTCTTTCCAACTCAGTGTCGAAACACAGTGCTGTTAAACGCTCCAAGATGCTATCCGTGTGAAGGACGCTATATAAATGTATGTTGTTGTTGCTGCACATTAGTCTTATGTGCATAGAGATTGCTTTTTTTTTAAAAAAGGTACTTGGCATGTTTGGTGTGTGGAAGATTAGTATCAACATTTTAGATTGCCCGTTCATTGATGTTGTAAGTACTGTAGGGTTTACTTCCTTATCCTCATCAGAGGTGGTTTAAATCTCAAATCCAAGGTTGGTGGACTCCGAGGCAAAGCACATTTAAATAGTAAAACCAAAGGTTAGTTTATTAAAAATCCAGCGACAGTTACAACAATCAAAGTTTTAACACTTACAATCACGAAGGATGACTTGGGGCTTGGAATGATCAGGACTGTGTCACCCTGGTAGGCTCGAAGCCACTGTCTTCTTGATGTTCACTAGTTCTTGACCAGACCAGTTCTTATAAACTTCAGTTATCTTCAGTTCATCTTGCAAGTCTTTCCATATAAGGAGTTGTCTTCAACTGCTTTGGAGACACAAAGAGTTGGTTTCTACTGCAATTGCAAAGAGTTTTTACTGCTTAACAGCAACCATCATCATTCTCTTGCGATTATCACGATGGATTGCCTCTTTCTGGATAACAAACCCTCATTCTCAGGACATCATTATCTGGATAACAAACCAGGTCATCATGCTTTGCAAGCTCATCTATTTAAGAGAGTATAATATCTTACATTTACATTACCTAGTTCGACTGTTGTCGAATCTGTGATATTGATGGCTTTGTTTGCACTGAAGTAAATATGTAGGCTGAAATGGAGCATTTAAAATAGACAAAGAACTCCTTTAGTACAAAGGTAATGTTACTTAACATATTAAAAAGAACTATCAGCTCATTCTTCAAAATATCTTCCTGGTGTTTTATGATCTGATGGAGTTAAAAAAGAATTCTATATGCATTGTGTGTACATGTGTGTATCCTAAATATTGTCTGTTGTAAATCTATGGTTCATTGTAGTCCCCGCTCTGGCAAAGAGATGCCATGCTAGACAGAAAAAGAACCGTGTTCCTTTGATCCACGAATCTCCAGCAAAGATCTTTTTACAGATGAAACAGGAGGCAGATTTAGCTATGCAGCAAACACCGCTGGCTTCAACTAAATTTCCAGGAGAACATGCAGGTAAAATTTATGTTTTTAATTTTGTTTTAGTGATTATTGAATCACCCAATCTAACACTCAATTTCCTGTCCGAAAAATAGCCCTTAGACTATTAATGGCTGCCTTCTTGCAAGACGATGAATTGACTCATTTGACTGTATTTGCAAACTTGTATGGTGTCAAGTTAACTGCAATGAAAACATAATCTTGTGTATTAAAAATACAGTGAGTAGTTTGTGGGTTTAATAACTATTGGATATGCCCTTGAAAAATGTCTGAGGCACTTAAAATTTGTTATAATACTCTACAATCTACGTTCATACTCTTAAGATAGATTTTGAATGCACTTTTTCTTTTTACCCTCCTGCTTATTAGAGGAAAATGTAATATCTAAATTTAACGATCAAAATCCTGTTTAACAATTCAAAAGATGTTTTTGTGTAACAAATATGTTTGGCAAACAGCAATAATGATCTTAAATTGAAGGTCTTTCCAAGCAGAAATATACAAAAATATATTGGTCGCTTCAATCCACGACTGTTTGTGGGACACTGCTGTGCGCAATTGGCTGCCGCTTTTCGCCCACAAATATACAGTCAATTCACTTTACAGTATATTCTGTGAAGCGCTTTGCGACATCTAGAAGACGTGAAAAGCGCTATATCAAACCCAAATGTTATTATTAATATAGGAATGAGATCACTTAATAATTGTGTGAATTTTGCTTTATTGATATTTTATATTGATAGTTAATGTTGCGGTTACGTAAAAATATTGCCTCCAATATTACCTTTTTTATAGATTAAGAAATTATTATCATTGGTGTTTTTATGAGGTGTTAATGATGACGATAGTAATTATTCAATAAGGTAAATCATTGTGAGGTCACTAACCAAATCACCCCTGTACAATGATTTTCACATACTGGCTTCAGATTTCAGTGCAGTCAAAATGATTCCTCGCAGTCAAACTGCACACAGGTTGTACAACCAGTCCTATTTGAGCACTCCTTTAGTACTATATGAAGGATTCAGACACCTTTGGCCAAGAGTAGGCCCACAAGGTGCGTAGAAGAAGCCACTAGAAGTAGCCCCATCCATTGCGGAAATAGTTTGGATCATTCATGCTTCAATATTGTTTTTTTTTAAATCAATGCAAATGCCCTCTCCCTTGGAAAGTTGCTTGTTGGATATCTAATGGAATAACTGCACATAATGATTGGTACTGAATATTATTTCTGACATGCTTCCCACTGCTTGTCCAGCCGCCTTACGGTTTTACAGGGTTAACAGGAGCCGAGCGAGAAGAATCCCTGACCTAGTGATGTCTACATGTCCAGTGCTTTGGGACGTCCTTCCGACGTGAAAGGCGCTATACAAATGTAATTTTGTTGTTGTTGTCTGCTCCTCCAAGTCCTGCCCGCGAGCTGGGTTGGCTGATATCTCAATCAGCAGCACCTCTCCCCCGCCTTTCTAAGGGACCAGACTACAGAGACCACCATCATGCCAATATTTTGTTGCTGAGCACATCAGTTTGGAGACCTCGCTTAGTTTCCCACCTCCACCCATCCGCCAAGGAGAATAATCATTACTTGGTCTAGTGCTATATTTAACTGCAATACTAGTACACAACAATGCTTAGTTTTAAGTACTCGGTAAAGTGTTTTAAAAATCTGTGGTTCTTTCTAGTACCCACTATACTGAATGGATACCACACATCACAACAAAAGAATTGTAGCCATGACAATGTAACACCAGGATCTTCAGCCAAATTCCTACAACAGGTGAAAAAAGATGATCGAAATGCACCTTTTACAGTAGACTCTGGAGGTGAGTTTTCTATTTATTGTATTTCTTTCTTACTATCAGAGTTGACTTCACCCTTGCCATCTTTCTTTGGTAAATCAAGTTCCACATTTTGATTTGATTATATTCAGTATTGTTTGCCAAAAGGAGATTTCACAAAAAGTGTTCCTTAATAAATCTATGAAACTATGAATCCATCTGTAATTACCTTTGGTATGTACTGACTTATCAAAAGGAGCTAAATGTTTTTTTTAAAATGCTGTTTTTAACCATAAATTAAAATAATTCAAAAAAATTAAATCACTGCAGGTTTTGCACACGGTAACCGACATCAAGAATCTGTTCCAGCATTAAGACTAACAAATAAATTGAACTCCAATCAACTTGTGGAGAATGCTCAAGTTTGTCAGAAAAATGTGAAGACATCTAACGTTGTCAGTTCTGACAATGGAGCTGAAATACGCAATTTTCATCTGGAAATAGATACTGATAATGGTAATGATGGAGATGACGAAAGGACTCAAGATACAGCACTAGAGACTGCAAGTTCGTTTTCTGTCACTGGTAACACCACCAGCACAAAGAGTGAAGCTCAAAAAATCCCATATTTTAATGCTACTCCTCTTAATAGATTTGTCCATCCAGCTAATGTAAATATGAAAGTTGGAGCCAAGCCCTCTGAAAAAATGAATGACTTTGTTGAAGAGTGTAAGGAATTACGTGTTATCTTGTTGAAATCACCACAGATTAGTATACCCAGAAAGCAAGGAGAAGAAGCTTCAAAGGCCATGAAAGACCAGGATGTTGATGAACCAAACAGCACAGTGGTAAGCAAGATAAACCATCATACATATAGGTGAAAGTATGAGTACAGATGTCAATTTTTTTGAGATATAGGTTTGCTTTTTTTTAGATCAGTTTCTGATTGTAGTCATAAATGTTGTGCAGTTTTTTTGAAGTATGCTAAGTCATTGTTGAGGTCTATAAAATACAGGATTCAATGTATATAAACACATTTTGGGAATGTGCATTTGTTTTATGAATTCTGTTTTCAGGGAGTAAAAGGCCTGGCCATTTTATGTCCCAATAAAGAGCAGTGTTTTGTAATCAAAATGTGAACTAATATTTGCCTTCTCTAAAGACACAGGAAAAGAGGATTACTCTCACTCACTGGATCATCAAGCAAATAAATAAGACTAATGATTTTTGTGTGGAAGGGAAAAGGTAACATATCTATTCTGTATGTAACTTTTTAATAGTATTAGGGGAAAATCTGGCAAAATTGTGATGTTTTTAAGATAAAAGTGTTTCTAAGAAACATTCTTGGCTTCAATGTAACTGAATAGAATTTGTTGATGTGTATGTCAATTAATCTAAACTAAAGTATGTTTTTCTTTTTCCCTCCTTTCTCCTCACTCCAGAGATTCTGACGGAATATACTGGCACAGTAACATAATTACTGAACGAATTTCACAAAAAGAGCTGAAAAGTTTTACTGGATCGATTTATATTCTAAAAGGTCCACTAGATTATACTGCAATGGTGAAGCAAGGTATAAAACATTACCCTTGTTCCTGTTTGGGAATGTTATTAAGAATAAGAACTGAATTAGAATCAACTGGAACTCTGTAATGGAAGGATATAACAAACATTTAAATTTAATAAATTAAATTAGCCACAAAGACAGAAGGTAATTCCAGGTATAGTCTTGCAATCTAAAGCAAGATCAGATTATATATTTAATACCACTTGCAAGTAAACTAACTCCAGTTACAAATATTGTAATTTGCAGGTTATATCCTAGATACATGTAAAACTTTGAATTGCTTGTTCTTGTGTAGAGCAAATATTCATTGAGGACTGTTCAATGATTATGAGATAGTAGTTAACTTGTTGGGCAAGAGAGGTAGCATATTAACAGGCTTCACATTAGTCACAGTAATTTGTCAGTAAACTGTTTTAATATGATGTCTAAAGATTACTGTCCAGTCTCTTGTAGTTTCTGGACTGATTTGTGAGATGCAATACACTATTATTATGATTAGGGTGGAGATAAAGGTACACTCTTTGTAATAAGGAATGCGAGATAGTGACCAGGAGTGAGAACTTTGGATACGTTCTTTCACATAGTTCAGAGGTAATGAAACCAATTGTCTTAGCCTGATGCCAATTAATTCAGCACCAACTGGGATTCAACCAAGGACTTTCCATGCTGTATGTTGCAGTTTCTTTCCAGATAATGAGCCATTGAAGAAATTCACATTTATTTTTCCCTCGTCGGTTAACAATGAAATGTACTATATCTTTATGTCAAGCGCTCTGGGACGCTACTTTGCGTGAAGGGCGCTGTATAAATGTAAGTTGTAATTTAACGTATTTCATTTTTACTTTACAAACACAGGGTTTTCGCCTGACTTTTTAAAACGATTCTCTTTTGGTTTTCCGTCGGATTGGAGGACTTGCATTGAAATATTCCTTAAAAATAAGAGGTAGTATCCTATTCTTAATATATTCTAATATTTAAATTTTAAAAAATGATCTGGTTTATGTTTGTGTTTATGTATTACATTTTAAACCAAAAAGAGATGTTTTAGATTGTTTTGTGTAATTTAATTACAAAGTCATCAAATCTCATAATTTTTCAATTCATCACTTTAGAACACACCAGTTCTCACAGGACATCTTTCTGGTGTCCCATTCATCATTGTGTTTGCTCATTTGGCTTGTTCTCATGAGAATTCTGGAAATGTTGCAAATTCTCTGAACATACTTATTTGCAATAAGAAACTGCTTTCTGACAGAACTGTTGATAACTATACATAAGTTTATCAACACATTCCTTGCTAGTTACTGACCGAATACAGCTGAAATGGGTAACTGGGAGAGAAAGAAATACAAAAGCTATTTGGCAGTGTGTTTTTACATCTGAAAGTACTGAAATAAGGATAATGTGTGTAAAATAAACCGAGCACATTTCTCACTTTTTAGGATATGTCGTACCAACCCGAAAATAAAAAGCAAGTCTAAAGATGAGCATGTTGAAAAGGTACCATCAGTGAAAACAAAAAAGTCAGAAAAAGGAAAACCTCCAGCATCTCAGTTACTTGAACCAGTTTCTACCCCGTGCAATAGTAGTTCAGTAATGGAACAAAAGAATCAAAGCATCAATAGTGAGTACAGTGCAAGACACTACATATTTATCAGACACCTGTTATTTCCTTCATTGTCTGATTGTAAACCGTGTGCACTCATTAATTATTGCATTTTGAAACTAAACATAGACGGCTTGCATGACTGAATTTGTTTTCCCTTTAACCGTAGGAATTGAAACTAGAAGTCAAGGATCTCGAAGTAAACCGGTATTTTACAGTCGTAGTGGACGATGCATTAAAGCACCATTGGAGTATTGGCGGGGCCAACGGATAGTTGTTGATAGCCAGTTGAAGGTTACTTTGTATGACGGTGGAAAAAATTACTTGTCTTCCAACACTCTATACTCTACAGTGAGTATGACACTTGTTATAAATAGGCCATTTTTCGTAGTTAACATGTGGACCTAACTTTGTTTTGTGATTGCTTTTGTGTGGATAATCGATATAACATTTTGTACGGATTACAAACACAGAGAGAGAGCTTCAGAAGTGATACTGCCACGACTTCAAAACATTGGAAAAAAGAAAAGGCTTCCACAATAGGCTCGAGTGGAAGACAACATTTAGGTAAGTAAGCTTTAGGATGTTCTGTTTTTGTAGTTTTTGAATAATTACTTATGCTAATTTTTGAGTTATATTTCCCTAGAGTTGATGTTGGTGTAACTTCAAACATATAATTATAAATAAGCTGCAAATTTGATGGTGTATGAAAACCTCCTAACGGTCTCTACGGTCTTACTTTGGTTTCAGGGTCTAATGTTTATAATTGTTTTACTATACTTGATGAATCAATGATGTCTGATTTCTTGCCTTCCACTGATAGAAGGTTCTCTTATGACTTCCATGATTGAATAGCCTGTTGATATTCTTTCTTTCGGCTCACAACTCGGGTAATATACCCAAGGACTATGAACACCTATGGAATTGTATCCTTAGTAAATTCATTAGCATCGGGGGGGGGAGAATCAAAGAGAAATGATCAAAAATAAATCATTTAAAACCAGCCAAAATTATACAATACAAAATTACATTTGTCTAGCGCATTTCACATCGGGAGAATGTCCCAAGGCAATGGATAGTCAGGGATTTGGACCCGAGCTAAAGATTGAGGAGAATGGCCGAAGGCTCGGTCAAAGACGAGGGTATTGAGACGCGCCTTGAAGGGGGCAAGGGAGTGAGGTGAAGGGAATGTGGAATGGAGTTCCATAGGGTGGGACCCGAAAGGCTGAAGGCCTGACCGCCGATCGTGGGGTGGACCGGGCGGGGGGTGTGGAGCAGGCTGCAGAGTGGACAGGTTGTTATGGGGTCAGCAGGTCGCAGAGGTAAGGAGGAGCAAGGCCGTGGAAGGCTTTGAAGGCGATGGTGAGGATTTTGAACTCTATCCTCTGGGGGATGTGGAGCCAGGTTAGGGTGGGGCTGATGGGGTCATGGAGCCTGGTGTGGGAGAGGACATGAGCTGCAGAGTTCTGGATGATCTGCAGCTTGTAAAAGGAAGAGTTGGGAAGGCCAACAAGCAGGGAGCTAGCGTAGTCGAGCCTAGATGTGATGAATGCGTGGATGAGGGTTTCGGTGGCCTGAGAGGTGAGGCAGTGGCGGAGCTGGGGAAAAGCAGAGCGGATCATGGCACGGGTGTGGGATAGAAAGGACAGTTCGAGGGTCAAGCAAGATGTCAAGACTGGCTCGGAACCTTGTTTATGTTTTGTTTGAAATGCTTTTAATATTCTTATTGATGAACAAAGTCTAGGGTGTATTTCAGCACATGAATCTTGTGTCTTTAGTTCCAATGGCGAAAAAAGATGTCAAAGAGAAAGAGATGAAAATTGACAACTCCAGAGACCAATCAATAGAATACCCTGTTGGAAAAGAACCAAATAAACAGTTGACAAGACAGGCTGAAGGGAGAGATGAGCAGCCTCTGAGACCACAAAATAAAATTTCAATGCTTCAGAACTGTAACAACATTAACCCAACTGTTGTATTATCCCCAATATCTCATGCTTACCGAGCATTGAATAAGACGACAACACTGAGCGAGTTTATGGATAACCGTCAGAAATTTGGGAATAAAGAAGGAAGTAATTTGGTTGCTAAACAAGATGGTTTATCTGAATCAGAGGATACAAGTGGGACAGAAGATACAACTGATAGTGACTGGTTCGAACCAAAGTCTAAAAGTAGAACTAAACAAAGTCAATCCGTAAAACCAACATACCAAATTAAAACTGCTGAAGTAAGAAGCTCTTCTGCTCAATCGGATAATATGACTACGAATCCCAAAGAAAATGAGATAATCAGCATTAAAAGAAAAGTAAGATACACAAAGTCAAAATCACATGACAGTAAGCGAAAAGGTAAGCAAATTATTTCAATTATCTATAATGTTGATCGTACTAGTGTTACAGAGCATGATTTGAATGGGGGAAGAAAAGTGGAATCACAATCTGAGCAAATAGCTTTAAAGATTAATGTTAATTGTTTTTAGCGCTCCGGGATGCTGCTTGTTGTTGTTTTGTGTCAGACATTTATAAAGGTAAACTCCATTTCAGGTAACACTGCATTTATCGCTGACAAACCTATATCATCCCGGTTGAGGTGCTCCGGAAGACCAATAAACAGCATTTACAATCCTTTGCCTTCTGAGTCAAAGGGGAAATTGAGTACTGATCCTTCTGACGAGAGTACATTAACTGAATTGAAGTGCTCTTCAAAATTATCTGCACAAGTTGAACCATCTCGTGAAACAGAACTCAATGACTACAACAAGAGAGGTAGTGTACAGAAGAACTCACTGAGAAAACCTAAGGATCAATATAACCAATTTTTGTCTTGTGTAACTGATGATTCTCTGACTGAAACGAGTGACACTGAAGCTCCTAGAACTGAGAAAGCAAAATTGACAACAAAATCTTCAAATAAAACTAAAGAATGTGGCAACAACAAAGTAAGATCATTAATCCCATCAGCACATTGTGAATCCAAAAAAAAGCAACAAAATGAATCTACATTAGTTCCTTTTTTCAGTAATGATAAAGAAGACATTTGGAATGACAAAGAACTGGAGAGACTGCTTAGGTAAGCACATGAAATAATCCAGTTTTTGTCCTATTCTGTATCCAAGTTATTTCAAAAACATTCTTCAGTAATATTTATATTTCCAAGTTATTTCCTTGCACAATTCCCTAAACCTATTAAACAGCCAAACTAACATTTGTGTTTTAAGCTATTGTGATATTGCTTTAAACATAAGATCTTGACTGATATATATCTGTCCAATACAGAGCTGTTGCAAAACTACCAAAGCACAAAGATGGTTTCTGGGTAGATGTTGCGATGATCGTTGGAACACGTTCTGCTGAAGAATGTCAGCAAAAGTACTCATCTGAGCATCAGTCAAAATTGATCAAAACAACAAAAGCCAAGCAGAAGAAAAAGAATACCAGCAATAAACACGGGCAAGGTTAGAATCCATACAATTAAAGATGGTTTCTTTTTTTTAATGTAAAATCACTTCACTATTGCTGTTCTAGTTGGAACAGAGCCAAGTGTTTGCTGTTTGGGGAGATACAAGGTCTGTGTGGAACTTGGAACACTGACATTTTTAAAAATATTGATGGCTTTGGATTCAAACCCCAAAATAATATGGATTTCTTGCTGATACCTTGGAGCCATGCCAACACTAAGTTCTTATTTTAATGGGGTTAAATTGTCCAATTAAATGTTGTTCAGCAAAACAGCCTATGGAATTGCATTGCTTCAATTCAATATGGTGGCAAATTGTGTAATTTTTAGGCACAAGCAGGTAGTTGCAGTTAATGCAATGATTTGCAGTGGTGAGATCACAACCGTTTTTGGTTTTGCAGAATTGAATTAATTGTGTAATGCATGTACTTTACAGAAATGGAACCTGTGAAAATTGTTGCTCGAGTTGGATCACTGAAAAGAAAGCAGCAAATCAGAGAGTTCCTGGAACAGTTGCCAAAGGACGATCATGAAGATGTTTTCACTGATGCTCAAGTACAGAATAAAAAAGTAAAGGTGAGGGACACTGTTTAACCTTTTCTTGCAATTTGAACTTTGTACTGCATCTTTCACACAATTGTTTTCATACAGTAATAATGGTGGGGCGAGCATTACTAAAGGCTAATTGGATACAAGGGGAACAACTATCCGGTAAACAAATCCAAAACATTGAGACAGAACCTTCAAATTCTAGTACAGCTAATTCTAGTTAATGAAACCATGAAACATTTCTTCACACAAAAAGATGTGTGTGTATATATATATATATATATTTTATATCATATATATTATGTATCGTATACATTATGTATTATATATCACATATTATATATCATATATTATATATATACCCAGAAGCCACATATTGATTGAAATGTCCAAAAGAAAACTGGTTAAAATTTTAAGGAGTGTGGAGAAAGAGTAGAATATGATCAAGAATATAAAGAGTTGCTATAATCTTTAATGAAATGACAGCCCAGGCTCAATTGGCCAAATCGCCATTTTCAGTTTGGCAGTTCTGAAAAGTAAAATCCATCATTCACAAACTGGAAAACATTGTGTTACTGCAATGAGCAGTTTGCGCTGAAAACTAAGTAATATAAAGTTTATCACCAATGTTTAAATAGCAAACCTATTTTCAAACAATCGATGGTTTGATTCAAAATGACAGCTTGTGAACTTCAGCATTTCATTCTCTAATAATTGTTGCAGCTTCCCAGCTTTCAGACCAGTGAAGAGGATGACGTCTTTGCACTTCTTCAGAAAAATCCAACTACTCCAACTTCAATCCTTTTTCCTTCTGCGCAAACTCCCCAGTTGTATGGCATCAGTCCTAGAATGTTGGAGCCCACTGATAGGTAACCTTCTCAATTTGAAACTATTGTAAATTATATTTGAGAAGACCCACATATCATTTTTCCTACATTATTGTTGCAATGCCACAATGCGTGCCAATACAAGATCTTGTTAATTTAAAACAATAGTTTCTTAAATACAATAGTTTGTTTGATTATCTGCTTGCAGTCCTCAAGCAGGTAGCTCCTTTATTTGGCCGCCAGAAGCTTCTAATCAAAGTGACTTTTTTAATAGAATTTAACTTGTATAATGAAAGTGGACACAAGACTGTGATATGTTACAAAAGTGATTTGAACCATAGTCATGATTTGACTGCATTACCTGGGACTTGCTGATTTCTCCACATTTGGAATAACCTTTAATTGTATTATAGGGATAATAATGACAGATATATTTATCAACTGCAACAAAAAGGAAGCAAAATGAAGAATTGGTCCAAAGTCCAGAAAAAATCGGTAGGAGGATGCTTTATAAACGGTTTAAATAAATATATATAAACCTAAAACGTTTTATATTAATAACGAGACATGATTATTTTTATTTCAGGCACCTACGTTTTTACCAACACCGACTAAACCAAAATCAAAATTAATACAAGGAGGTAAGAAGCGTTGAATTAGCCGTGGCTTGAACTCCTTTACACTGTTTACTTACGAACAGTCTTCCCTTATTTCATTCACAAATGTATTACTGTTTGTGCAAATGTTTTCAGGCCCTACTCGTGAGCCAAGACAGGATTTACTAGTACTGCTGCATGGCTTTACCAGTTCTCATTACAAGTACTTGCGAACTATATCGTTCTAAATCTGGCTGCTGTTTTTGTATAATCTGCAAATGTAGAGATTTTTGATATCATGTCTTCTTCCAAGTAATTTATTTTAATTTGAGGTTATCAAAAGTGAGGGATGTTAATCCACTGCTTTGAGAAATCGTTTTTGTTAAAGTAAATGTCCCTTTGCTTTGTTGCAGGAATGTTCCTTAGCACTAATCACAAAAGAGCCCTGCTTACTGCATGGACTATGATTCATCAGAGCAGAAGTTTCTCAGCTACTTATTACAAATTAGGAATCCTTGAAAGCCAGAAAGTTTGTAGGATCGAGGTTTTAAGCTAATTGATTGTGGTTTGCCTTTCATTTCAATTAGCTCTTTTTGTATAATCTTGGACTTCACATTTATTTTCAGCAAATCTGGTGCATGATATATCTAGCTTATTCTAAAGAGGTGTGGCATTGAATTCCCCTGTCAAAATGTCGATTTTAACATTGTTCGAAAGGGATTTTATTATTTTCATTAATACATTTCAAACCATTTGGAGCCAAACTTGCACTTTTGACAACAAAAAGTTGGATTTACAATATATATTCATGTAGGATAACACTTTGGGGGCACTTTTCTATGATTCGATTCACTTGAAGAAAAAGGATTGCGGAAAAGGCATAACATTTTTATTAGGATAGATAGCTCCACTGGGGTACTAACATGGGAGAGGCACCAGGGTAAATGCTCTGCTAACATTTCTATGGATCTCGTAACTTTATAGCAGTCTTTTTATATTGGTTTGGGGATAGTTTTTCTCTCCATTAGGTTGGTTGATCTTCCCCTACCTAGAAGTATTGTTGCTTGACCAGAACTGGAGCATCTCTCTCAATTACGCAGTTGTGAGCCAATGCGAAAATGACTCTAACTTCTTAAATTGAATGGGATATCCTGGAACGTTAGATTTTGTTTGACCTCAGATTGAGTGTGATCGCTGGCCTGATACATGGGATGCCATTGTGAGGTAGTAACTTTATATAATCTCACAGAATCATAATTAATCTTGTGTTCAATGTTGCTTCTGAGATGAAGACCAAATGCTAGTTAGATGTGCTTTTCACACACCCAAATATATAAACGTGAGTTATTTGGGCAGCTATAATATGCTTATTCCATTATTGACTGCAAATGCTGTTTAAACTGTACCTTTTTTGTATTTCAGAAACTAAGGAAGCTATCAAAGAAAAGCTTTTCAAAGATGAAAAAACTTTTCTATCAGATGATGACAGAGAGGAGGAAGACTATTACTTTTCAGACACAATGTGAATAGTTTTTAAAATCTATAATAAAATTACAATTCCTTGAGGAAAACTACATTGTCTGTCTCCATGAAGAGCAATTGGTAATGTTGTTAAATGTAGATGCTGAATATTTGGAACTACATTTCCTCTGTTAAACATTTCAAAGTTCAGGTGCCTCCTGTTACTGCTTTTTAAAAGGAATGAAAATGTATAAATGTAGAAAAGTATCTACAGCAAGTTTTATGTTTTGTAATAACTAAGTTATAAACTAAATGCGACTCAGACCTGATAGTACCTGCAATTTAAAGTAGTAGTTTTTGTCTATTTTAATAATTTTTATTGTTTGCTTATATGAAGTATGTTCAACATGATTTGCTAATTTATAGGATGGAAGCATCTAAACCTGACATTTGTGTCACAATATGCTTTGCTGTTGCTGCAATTTCATAGTACATCCCATTTTATTTGTTTCTGAAAGGGTTTAGTATGCTTGGGGCAGCGTGTATGTTAATGTGGAATTGTAATTCTGTCAACAGCTAGCTATCTTGCAAATTTAAAAATATATTGGAAATTTTTAAAAACCATCAACTAAGCTTCCATTTGTCAGCATCATCCAGTGTCCCATTTCCCTCTGCAACTGGACAGATATGCAATTCAAACTGGAAGTGGATATGGACTGAGTCAAATAGTCCATAAAGCACCAGATTCACATTTATGTATAAAGGGGTTTGGTGACTGGAAGAGCCACCATTTTCAAAAAGAATAAAGAGAAATATTTTAAATGTATGCTACTTCTTTGCCCCCTATTTTTGAAAGTAATTGATTAAAAATGGATGAGTGTTTCTTCATTTGTAGGACACGTGGTGTTTGTAATAAGCTGTGGAAAGTAATATCTGTTATCTGTATTCTGAACCTATTCCCTAGTCAAGCAAACAATACAAGATTATTAGCATTGGTGTGCTGAGATGTTTCCCTCCTTATAGTATAATTTATTAAATATTGCTGGGAGAGCAAAAGCTAGGGTGGTAAATGGTAAATATTTTATTTCATCCATTGCCCTCTATGTGCATTCTGGGCTACAACTAGAGATTGGGAAGGTAGTTAGGCCTTTGGAGAGATTGCTTCAATATGGCTTTAGCAACACCCTCACTATTTTCATGGGAGTAAAATTATAAAAAGGCATGGAGCTATTTCTTTCGAAATTATCTATCAGTTGTAAGCCAACTTTCTTTCAATGGGTTAGTACTACTATAATTGTTGCTCAGCAGTGTGTTTGGGAACCAAGGAGTGGTTTGGTGTAACCTTTTGGATCTATGAACACATTGCTCTAAAAGGTGGCAGGATACGATTGTGTCTTCAGTTCTCTTATGTATATGTCCAATATAACATACAGCAACAAACATGACCAGGCTTTCCTGCTACAGTAAAGAAGGAATTATTGAAGAAAAGCGCCAGTTTCAGTACTGCATTGACAAACATGAGAGAAAGTTGAATTCTCTGCCATGAACCATGCAGAAAAATTCAAGAAAGCAGTCAGGACAAACATCAACTTTAGAATCCTGTCCATATTATTATTTCTGTCAGTCCCTACTGTAGTTTATAATTATGTGTTAGGGCATTCCTGTCTGTCCTCCTGTCCATGCACACATAACTGCCTTCCAGCAGGGATTGTTTGATGGTATTTAGGGGTGGTGGACTTCCTTTTCCCCGCCCTTGTGACAAGGTGCTATATCAAATGCAAGGATTATTTTTCTTTTTTCTTTAGTTTTCCTTCTAATTTTAAGACAAAGCTTTACCAAACTTTCATCTCTCAATTTCCTGCTTTTTTTTTTACTATTGGGCAAGTACACAAAATCATGTGGCACAACATTCTCTTTGTACAAAGGGCAAATTATGCCGAGTAAGTGTAAAGCAGTGATTCTGAATTGTGATTCAGAGTGGAAATTAAATAACTAAATACGTTTGGAATCCGTATTTCTGGTAATGTTTAATTTTTTTATAAGATGTATTTTTCTTCGTTTCAAAATTACCCTTTGTTTTAAGAAAATTGCTTGGGTAAAATGTTTTAAAGGGATCGTGTTGGATGTATAATAATAGTTTTATGCCTTTTCCATCTTAACTTTTTTTTATTGTGTTTTGTGTAAACTAAAATAAAAATGTAAATTCTGGATGGCAATTGTTCATACTCCAATAGATCTAATATTTATTTTTGCACCAGAAGTAGCCTGTCATCATTTGAAATTCTCAGGACAAATCTGTTCCAAAAACCAAACTTGCCGGAAATCACTTCAGGAAACAGTTCTATGTGTTGAGATTTCCATTTGTAACAATGGTGAGCATAGAGTCTGCTAACGAGCATAATCTCATTAACAATTGAAACCTCATGAATTCATAAGTATAAGGAATATAATATCCTGGATTCCTAAATATAAGAAAAGTATCTCACCCTGGCTATTTAATGTAGTGTTTATAACGTAAACTAACAAATAGCTTTATAAAGCATCAAGTGAAGTACATTAATCATTAAACTAACTACGCTTGTGGGTTGCTAACAAACTAAATTCCAGAAGACAATATTGACGGTTTTGTATTCAAAAAATAAAATGATCTCTCCTTTACTATCATTTATTGTAGTCCACATACCCTGGGAAACCTACACTAGAGTATTGCCTCTTAAGGGGTGGGGAAACCTATTTATGAAGTGAGTACACTTATAAATTGTAGTCCGATCATACCAATAGCGTTTTTTGATAATTCAGACTTTGTGACAAACATTTTTTAAAAAATCAGCTGAACAGATAACCCCAACAGTATGAATCAGTGTTTGTTTAAAATGATGATCTTTCAAGTATTTCACATGTAGCAGTGTCCAACAACAGATCTGGACAAAAACAGCGCTATCTTATCACTTAAAAATTGAGGGTGGGATAGGTATAGTATTATGAGGCCGGAGAAACAGTTTCTATTCTATAGAATCCCTGCAAGTGCCCATTTAAATTAGGATGAAGTTCTTCAGTAATTTGGAAGATATTGGTGATAGTTGAAATTTAAATGTCCCTTCGTCTCTAACTTGCTCAAAGTCTATCATTCCCTAAACTGGATGGAATAATAGGCTTCACAAAAATAAAGATGTGCTCACTCAAGCTCTGCATTCTGATCAAATATCCCAAAACAAACCACAATCTGTCTTCGAGCTGCCACGACATAATACATTTGACACGGACAAACACCATAACTTTATCTGAATTTGATACAAATTTGAGACCTTTGATGGTTTAAAAGATTTTTGTTAACCACAACGTGGCACTAGAGAGCAGGAACAGGAGGCCGTTCAGCCTGTCCAGGGCATTTTACTAATAATATTGCATTTGATTCAGCACCTTATCGTGTTGTTGGGAGGTCTGAAAATGCTTCACAGAATATATTGTAATTTTGCCAGTGTATTAAATCAGGACAGATCTTTATCATTCATAATAAACCTTACATTTAATTAACTGATGTTTTTACATACCCTTTAATACCTTTCCTAAAACAATATACTGTGTTTGGATATATATATATATATATAAAACTTAAATCTGCTATTTTATTCTATTCTATTTATTGTCAAAAGGGAAAACTTTTTTTGAAAAAATGCAACTGAGTAAGATTTGGTGGTAAAGTTGGTACTGTACTCCATTTAGTATACATTTCTTGGTATTTGTTTTATCAACTGATGGGCGTGAAGAGTTGAGAAGACCCACTGGGATTTGAATCAAATCACGAGTAGGCTCCTCAACAAGCTTTCTTTTAATATTTTACAAATATCAATCCTGATTTTTTTCAGGGCTGAAATGACATGTATACTGCAGACTTTTTAAATTTTAACCAAATCACTCGAAGGGCTAGATTGCATTCATTTTTCATTCTTGCCCCAGCAATACTGTATTTCACTTTTTCTCTGGAGATTGTGATACACAGCTCCTTATTAATAATGTAGAGTTAATTGTGCAAGAAGCTTTATTGCCTCAACCCTCTAGGTTCATTGAACATCGATTATATGCAATGCATGTTGTACCTGTGCTGAGGAAGAGAGGCCTTGGTTTAGTGAAGGTAAGATCCTTGATTCCAACTGAGCTACAGGGATTTCCATCAATATTTCTTTTTCTGATACGAGGTAAGATTTGCCTGACATTGAAAAGAAAAGAATAGTTTATGAAATATACATTCAATATACTGAAGAGTATTTTATGATTTTAGGCGCAATGTACGTTTTAGCTTCTATTCAACCAATGTATCAAAATACCACACTATAATTTTTTAAAAGAGAAATCTAATCTTATGGTTTCTATCATCTGTTTGTAATTTTTACAAATGTTCTAAACTCATATTTAATGCTACATAACTAAATCATTTTCTTAACAAATCAAATAAATTCCTGCCACGAAAGCTTTAAATATGCCCTTTCGACATATTTAAAGTCTCCCAATTGCTGGTTTGAGCCTCTACGCTAATGTCACATTTTCGTTAAACTGAGGTCCTGTCTGTTTCTGCAAATGAATATTAAAAATCCCATGGTATTATATGAAAAGAGAAGGGAGTTTCTTCTTGGCCAAGAATCCACAGATAAGTTTGGTTCGTTTCATAGCTGTTTGTTGAATATTGCTGTGTGTAAACTGGGCCCCTTCATTTGCCTACAAAATGCACATTCAGTCCCTTGACTACCCATTACCTTAAAATTATGTTGATATATGTAGGCACTGGATGAAATGAATAGATAATGAAAATAAATTTTTCAATTCTCAATTATGCCATGAGGTAGAATATCCAACGCACGTGCATTTCTCTCGCCCTGTAACACCCATGGTGTCTATGAGATGGACAGTTCAGCAGGACTTGCAATCTGTTGTAAACTAGAATCTTGGAGTTAGGTCTGTTTGTAATCATGGGGGGGATAAAGTTGGGGAGAAAATAAGTTAACCATATTGAAAACGCTTGCAGATGAACTGAACTCATTGCAGGAGGTTAGAAAATTAAACTATTAATGCAAAGATATTCTAATTGTATTTCTTATTTTGTGGAGTTGTCTTCTTCCTCTAAACTATAGAAGCAAGCCATTTGTAAATCAGGGAGCAGCGTTGGCAATGTCTATTGGAGAAGTGCAGGAACAAAATGATACTTGTACTTAAATATTAATGATGATAATCCTTACATTACACATAGTATCTTATCACATCTTCAAAACATCTTAAAACACTTCAAGCTCGTGTAGAGTGTAACGACAGTGTGTTTTGTAAGCGAATGCAGCCTCCAACTTGCCCACAGCATAACATATAGGAGCCATTCGGCCCTTCGAGCCTGCCCCGCCATTCAATCATGGCTGATCTCCTAATCTAACTCCAGCTAATAACCTGTCCCTGCCTTATCCCCATATCCCCTTTTGCAATACAAAATATATCAATCTCAGTCTTGAATATGTTCAAGGACTGAGCGCCCACAGCCCTTTGGGGTAGTGAGTTCCATACATTCACTGCCCTTTGAGTGAAGAAGTTCTTCCTCAACTCAGTGCAAAAGGGCTGACCTCATTTTAAGGTTATGACCCCTGGTTTTAGTTTCTCCAACCAGGGGAAACAATCTCCCACTATCTACTCTATCGTGCCCTTTGATGGTCTTATAGGTTTCTATAAGATCCCCTCTAATTCTTCTATATTCTAGAGAATATAGGCCCAAATTGGTCAACCTATCCTCATAACTCATCCCCTTCATCCCTGGTACTAACTTAGTAAATCTACGCTGCAACCCCTCCAAGGCAAGTACAAAAGGCTGTGAAGTGTATCATCAATTTTATATGGAGGATTATTGGCCCAGATACCAGGAAAATGCCCTTCTATTTATGAACAGTTCCATGGGATCTTTGACATGCAGATGGATTGGAACTCCTTTGAACCTCTGCTGGAGGATGACAACTGTGACAATGCAATGCGTTCCCTCATCTGAGACATACGTTAGCTTGAACCCACAAGCTTCCAACTCCGAGGTTAGAGTGCTATCAACTGAGCTTGGCTGACACCTTACAATCAAGTACATTTGTCCTGTGTTTGTCTACAAAAATAATCAGTGCATCTGACAATAATTACCTGTCAAATATCATCAAAAAAACAATGAAGCCAAGCTCCGCAATATCCCCTCATCCTCCTCATCTTTGCAGTCTGCTTTCATGATTCCCAGCAATATTGAGCCAAATGTTCATTTAGCATGTGGCTATCTTTGTCTAATAATATCCCTATAACTCTCAAACCAGCTATTTATCCAGCGTTTTCTGAAAAAAAAACTGCTGAGCTACTCGGAACCAGTGGCAAAATCATCCTTCGACATCTGCTGTTTGTCTCCGATACCCCAAAAACTAAAACTTTAGCAAGTTTGGCGCAACGTCATTTGGTATAACAGCACAACAGTATAACAGCGAGCTCACGTCCACTAAAACCAGGGCTGGCCCATCAACCGCAACCTAATAGTGAATAATACTCCTTGCATTTGATACAGCGCCTTATCGCATCTTTGAGACATCTCAAAGCCCTTCACCGAATACACTGCAAAGTGTAGTGACTGTATATCCTGTGGGCGAAACGCGGCAGCCAATTGCGCACAGCAGCCGTGTGGTGGATTGCGTGGCCCAATTCATACTTTTTTTTTTACATGGAGAGCCCCTCACACCGGAGAGCGCCTCAGAGCTCTTGAACACACAGACACACATCTGTTGGGATTATACAAAGTGTGACTGTAACACACAGTCCAAACCCTGTAGCATTTCACCCATTCCAGGCAACAACAACAACAAATAAGGGTGCAGTACAGTGGCTGCAGCATATACAGTCTGTGTGGGGGGAGGGAGAAGGGGAAATAACACACCTTTTGAGTTTCTCTGAATGCAGAGGATTGTGAATGACTTGAGCCCCAGAGCTGCACATCCCCCAACAACTTTCTGCAGCTGCACAACAACAGCCCCAGAGCTCAACTGCGTTAATCTGCTCCTCCTCCCGGAAGCACTTGATGCAGAGCATCTGAGTGGTCCATGTGGGGAAGAAGGAGGAGGAGGAGGAGGAGAGGCTGAGCTCAGCTGAGTTGGGTTTGTGGAGGGGGAGCAGCAGCTGTTGGGGTTTGTCCTGCAGACACTTTGCAGTGTCCTCTCTCTCTCTCTCTCTCTCTTTCTCCCCTCGACCTCCACAATGACATCTGGGTCAGTCTCCCTTGAAACAGGGAATTCATCCATTGCCTAAAAGTGGTATCGTTAATTATTGCTATGCTATGGCCATGTTTTAAATGTATTTTTTCTATATATAACATAATATATTGTTAACCAGCAGTGATCGAGATAAGAGTAACTTTAAAAGAGTCTCGCTTTACATTGCTGGGAGAATTTAGGATGATTTTTATCTCTCTCTCTCATCAATCTTGTCAATGTTTTGGAGACAGGTACCCAGTGCTGTGGATTGCACTCGTCACTTGCTCTCTTGTCTCCTCCTCTGTTGATGGTGTTTACCTGGAACCAGATCAAAATGTCAGGTAAGCGCAGATATCTTTATCATTCAAACTCAGAAATGATAATTCTGCAGTTTCTTTGCCATTTGATTAAAACTTCAGGTGAAGACGTAGTCACAGCACGTACCGTGCAACAGTAGATAGCAGTAATAATGTCTTAAGACTCCTGAGTGATATTTGTTTCCTCTCTATGAGGTTCTTGAGTCCTATTTCCCAGTCGATGGATAGTTGATTATAAATCTAAACATTAGTGAGTGTGCGAGATTTGAGGAGGTTACAGTACTGTAATAATAATAATCCTTGTATTTGATATAGCACTTTATCACATCTTCATGAACAAATTATTACCCCCGAAAAACAATCCGCCAATCCACTAATAACCGGGTTCCTAACAGAGGCGTGTGGAGTAAGGAAATTTGCCCAACATTTCGGCCGGCCGGGAATCTAACCCGGTCTCTCGCTCGCATGGCGAATGCGCCAATGACTGAGCTACAGGACTCCACGTACTGTAGAACGTACTGAAAGTGGATTGACTGTATATTTTGTGGGCGAAATCATTGGACCATCACTGTAGGTTGCCAGCAAGCTTGCAAAACTGAAATGCAGTTAAAACCTTTTCAGATCACATTATATAAATATCAGATGGATGTTTCTCAATTTTTTTAATTTGGTGTCGTGGTTGTTAACTGCACTTCTCGTTTCCTCACAGTATTCCTGCAGGGTGGACCCACACAGGACGGGTGGCCGATTCTGATCAAATACTCTTAACGTTTGCACTGAAACAGCAAAACCTCGGCAAACTGAAGGAATATCTGGAGCAAGTGGCAGACCCTCAGTCTCCTCAATATGGTAATAGCCAACCTGTCGTGGTGCTTATCTGCGTGTTACACATTGGGATGTAATTTGTAATATGAGTGGTCACTTTCAGTAACTGGTAAATGTGTCATTCCGATGCAAGGGAACTCTGCTCCAGTAGATTCAGATGGAACTGGGTTCCCTTAGGTTAGTGGAACACATTGCTTGACCAAGGTCTTATTACTGTCTCAGTATTAGCCGCTCAGGACATTTCAACAACAGGAATTTGCATTTATGTAGCACCCTTTCAAGCTGTTAAACACATCTTTGGTGCACTTAACAGCAGTGTGGTTTAGCACCAATTGAGAACCCGCTGTAATTGAGCTGGCAGATTTTGTGCATCTTACAAAGTAAATGGGAGATTAAATTTGCAAAACTAGGAGCAGCTTTTTACAGCTGAAACTCAACAAAGGAAATTGTGATTCCTCAAATTTGCTTTCATCAAGGATTTTTACACCCATTGGGGCATCGATATGCACTCAAGAGGTGTGAGGTGGGGATAAAAAAAGAGTAAATTAACTTTCAGTTTGAACGTAAGTGGTAGTTTAAAAAAAGCTGTACTTCCTTGCACAATAAAGTAGTAAAACCACACAGTGGAATCTACTGGAGAGATAAGTGTTCTTTGTAATTTCTTTGCCTCTGACTAGTACTGGGTCTGGGCTAATGTTTCCCATAAGCAAACTGATAAGAGACTGGCACAGTGCTTCCTGTGGGAAAAGTTCAAATGTGAATCACTGACTGAACTTGGGGAGTTCTATGAAGGTATTGACTGATTGATACTTCTGTCTGATGTCTAGGAGGTTTGTGGTGAAGATGGGTCTATCTTCATGAACCTACTAATGTTTGGTATGGTTCTACTTGCATTTCTGTTTCCCAGGGAAGTACCTCTCCTTGGATCAGTTGGCTGGTTTGATTCAGCCTTCAGAAGAGACTCTGAAAGTATCGCGGAAATGGCTGAGGAACCATGGTATACACAACTGCTCCACGGTCCAGACTTTAGACTTCTTGCAGTGCTCCATGCCTGCTAGGTAATTAAACATCCCCAAAGGTTCAAAAATGTCTTCTGTACCTGGAAAACAAACGTAGCAACCTTACATCGTAACATGCCTTTTGGAACCCTTCTGAAGTGTGGCTTGGATGATGTGTTTTCAATACATTTTGCATTTGGTAGGATTTCTCAAAGCACTTCACAGGATTTACTGTACTGGTTGTGTATTTTGAGGCAAAACACAGCAGCCAACATCCCACACACAGGCACGATAGGGGCCATTGGCAATTCATCTCCACTACAGAGAGAAAGGCAATTTGTTTTAAAATGAAAAGTTTGAGTGAAATGCGTTGTGGATGGTGTTTCAATATAAGGGCCAATAGACAATTCATCTTAAATCAGAGAGCTTTACGAAGAAGGATTAACTTTAAAGCTCGAGTGAAATACGCACATTAATACAAATGAATTATTAATGAATTTAAACAATGCTCCTTTATTAAATTGAGCTTTCTGTCTGCTGTGTTATCTACATGTCTTTGTGTATCTTGTAGTGCTTTGACAAGTAATGTGAGTGATGTTCACAACTTGCTCTATCCACTCATTTGTGTTGCTATTCCAGTTGCAGTTAAAACTCTGTGTAGGCTTACATTGTCTGTCAAAAGAAAGCCTTATATTAGGTCCTGGATTTGTATATTATCCTCTACAGTTCATGAACAGCTATTAATTGACCACATTGGAATTCCTGATTTCTTTACCTGTGTTTCAGCACCGCTGAAAAGCTTTTGCCTGGATTGGAGTTTAATCGATATACAAATGGTCATCAGACACTGGTACGCTCCCCCCTTCTGTATAAAATTCACAAAGAAGTGGCTGAACATGTTGATTTTGGTGAGCATTATTAATGACTCCTGTGCTATAAGACTGTGGCTCCAGTGTACTTATCACCACAGTAGTTAATCCTTTTCTGACCGCTTCTTTGACCGTGAAGTATTAAATTCTATCAAACACGTTTGTACCGGGGGAATTAACGCATCCCAGCAGGTAAATGATAAGGTGTTTGTTTGTCTCTGTGAATGATACTCTTTTAAGCGTTTCTATCCACATTACAGTTGGAGGTATTCACCGGTTCGGCTCGCAGAAGTCTGTGATAAGCAAGGCATGGAAAACTTTCAAGTATGGAAAGGCAGGTTTTCACATGGGAGTGACGCCTAGCGTTATAAGAAAGCGATACAATCTCACTGAAAGCGATATCGGCTCTCATGAAAATAACAGCCAAGCAGTGGCGCAGGTAAGCTTTAAAACAGGAATTCTGAGCCTGTTAAATCCTGACTGTTACTGAGATGAACATCAATAACTTCAACATAATCCTCTGTGCTGCTCTGTATCCTGTTAGTTCGAGCCGTGTTTCCGATTCAGAACTTTACACAATTTACCCTGTCTGGGAAATCTGATCCACTTCCCATGGCAATACCTAAACTGCAGAGAGGATAGCCGTGAAGCTTGTGAAATACAGCAATATTTACAACCAGAGCCCTCCTGAAGAATCAGTATGAATTGAGAGGGAGGACTGAGGATTGGATTGTTGAGAAAACTGGTGTATACATGTGTATATATATATGTCTAATGTGGTAGTTGGCATCCATAAGATCCCAACCAGTTGTGTATCAGGGAGCGACCGACGGTCAGCATCCCACTGTGCGCACAAGTGGTAAGATGGGCGGTTTCAGCAGCATTTGTTGACTGGCAAGTGGGAAGCCAAAAGGCCGACCTCGGAAGTCGTCCATTTTGACTTCCTGCGAGTCACAATCATAGAATTATACAGCACAGAAGGAGGCCATTCGGCCCATCGTGTCTGTGCCGGCTCTTTGAAGAGCTTCCAAATCAATCCCTTTCCGTCGCACTCTCCCCATAGCCCGGGGTTTGATGCTTTCTAAGTATATTTTGTTTTTTTGGGGGTAACGAAATGTTGGGCCCAAATCCCCAATCTCGCAAGAAGTGAATCTGCATTAGGTCACGTAACCTAACCATTTGCATCGATTCCTCCTACTCAACATCTCATGACTGAATCTTTTTACTCTTAGAATTTGTCTAGTTACTTCCTGAAGTAAAAACGCCTCCGTATAACCACTTTGCATGTTGTTCCTTGTTTCACTAATTCAGTTCCACATCACATGCCTACAATCCTTTTACTTTAAAAAAAACTTGAGCAGTTTTGCAGAGTGAGGATTATATTTTTACTTTATCAAACTCGATGCACTCCCATTAAATAAAGTGATCGATTGCTGGTTGCAGTTAATTAGAATTCAGCAACGTGAGAAATCTGAACACACAATGTCAATCATTCTTCTTGAAACAAATTTAACTCTGCGACTTTATATTTGACCTTCTGTATCTGATGTCTCCCCTGCCTTTAATCCTGCAGTTCTTAGAACAATATTTCCACCAGATGGACCTTGCAGAGTTCATGAAACTGTTTGGTGGTAGCTTTATGCACCACACTAAAGTAGACAATGTAGTGGGATCCCAGGGAAGAGGTAAGGCACGTTTGGAGGCCAGCCTGGATGTAGAGTACATCATGAGTTCGGGAGCAAACATAACCACCTGGGTCTTCAGTAATGCAGGTAGGTGTTTACCAAACGCCAGGTAATTGTTTCTGTGACCGTTCTATACTGTACATGTGTTCTTAAAACATTTGTATTTCACGTCTACAGTTTTGGGCCAAGTACTGTATCAGTCACCTGGTACTTTACAGCAATGCCTTTGGGTCTGTTTGAATGTGTAAAGCAAACTACTCAAAACTAACGACACTACAAAATATTTCTGCTTTTGCAAATCGTGTGAGTTAATTCATGATCCACTTTGTGTCCATTCACCTTCCTTGGCCGGGTGCCTATCCAACACTGGGAAGTGGTTTGCAATGGCTTCCTGACATAAAAGGCACTGTATAAATGTAAATCATGTTGTGATAATTCAGCCTTTAGAATAATTGGAGCCTTTAGAGAAATGAACAGCCCCACACGTATAAAAGTTCAGGATTTGGGGCAAACTGCTCATTCCTTTGAGACTTTGTAGGTTAAGACTTGTTATTTCAGTTGACTTGAGTAAAGAGTATTACAATGCCTTTTAAGGAGTACATGACTAGCTTTTATTGGATTGTGAAATTAATTATTATGGTTCTCTGTGTGTATATCCATGTGTGTGTTTCACTGTTCGTGTATAATTAGCAAATAAATTATTGTTAAATCTTTTAGAATGGTGTAGGGTTACAAGAGATTTGAAACATTAATACGTGAATGTGATACTTGCAGGAAGACATGAATCTCAGGAGCCCTTTCTGCAGTGGTTGCTTTTATTGAGCAATATGTCATCTGTTCCATGGGTTCACTCTGTCAGCTACGGAGATGATGAGGACAGTCTATCTGTGGCATTTATGAACCGAGTCAACATTGAGTTCATGAAGGCCGGTGTCCGAGGGCTGACGATACTCTTTGCTTCCGGTACATATTTTATTTTTCTTCTTTTCAACAAACGACAACTTGCTTTTGAACCGGGAAGCAACTCTTTTCCTTCATTTAGTCACCACGTTTAAATTATGACAACCTGAAAATTGATTTGCCTTTACCTGTAGACACTTAACTATTTACGTTAATGATTAAATCATGAAATTCATTCTTCCGCTCTATTCACCCGGTTGCCTTCCATGGCTTTCAATTTTGTACGGTATCGGTCGGTATACGGTGATCCTGAGAATAATGTGGCTGGAGGTGAAACAACCAAACTTATAAAACCAGCCTCAAAATGGTTGCGCTGGTAAATTGAGTTCAACAGAATTATTTTACCTTTATTTTTGCAGCATTTTATTCTGTGATTTGCTTTATGCAGGCAGATGTTAACAGTGAAAAGGAGAAATGCCAGTTAAAACCCTAACACTCACCTTTTGTGTGGCAGGAGACGATGGGGCAGGCTGCCGAATGGTTAGCAAGGGAATAAATGCCTTCAGACCCAACTTTCCTGCATCTAGGTAAATGCAGGATGACTCAAGATTTTCATTATTGGGGTTATACCGCCACACTGTGTACTTCACAAGACCAACCTATTAAATGCTCAGTCAAATAAATATCAATTTAAATGATTTAAGTATTACGAACACACACGTGGCAATGTTTTAAAGAAAAATCTTTTCCGCTGCTTCACTGAACCCCTCATTTGTGGACAGATTGATATTGATAGCTATTAACACATGTAGATAAACGGTGCTGATTCTGAGCTATTGCTATTGGTTTTGTGTCTACGTTCAGTTTGCATGTCTTGTGTGATGTTCAGAAATAATAGATTATAAAACTTCTTTCAGTCCATACGTCACAACTGTGGGAGGAACTTGTTTCAAGAATCCCTTTCAGATTACAACTGAGGTATCGGATTACATTAGCGGCGGGGGATTCAGTAATGTGTTTAAGATGCCAGACTATCAGGCAAGTATCCAATCTCACTTTTCAGTAAATCTATTGTTACAATGCTTCTCTGGTAACTGACAGTAATTTTCTAGTGAACAGCATAATTAGGGCAAATTATTACCAGTTCAATCCTTGGGGAATTATAAGCACATCTTGCAGTCCTTCATCAAAGTTCTATTGATTTGTGTTGCAATGCACAGAAAAAAATAATTGCCTTTAATGAATCGTACACAAATTCACATAACTATTTCATACTGGTGTCAGATTGAAGTCATTCATTGATTTCCCCAGACACGGGAACACCATTATGTCGTTCTGTGACCCAGTAAAATTCAAATGGTTCCTTTCAACACGATGCAAAATTATCATCATATTTAATCAACTTGATTATGAGCTGGTTTTAATAAGAACTTATTATACACGTTAAACAGCAGCAATCTGCTGCTGTACAAATCATTGCAGCTAGTCAAATTATTCCCAGTGACACCATTTCAAGTTTGCTGTGTTGCATTTCAATTTTACTTCCTAAAATAATATATTTAATTCCTCCCCCCCAAACAGACACACACAACCAAAGTTCAAAAAACAATTCCATTTCTGCTGTAGTTTAATAAGTGACAAATTCACAGCAGACACCTTATTTGCAGGCTAAAGAATATCACAGAACCGTTTGATTAAATTATTTTAAAGGCAATCATTCATAGGTTTAGGACTTAGCTCCCGGCACAGGAAGATATGAGTTTAATATGTGGGTGATAATACATACAAACCTGTATTCTAGTTCTTTCTTGGCACAATGCATTGGTGAACTAGCTTCAGCAAACACCACATGCATTGCTTTTATTTTTGTTACAACATCAAGAGGATTCAAATATTAATACGTTGTTTGTGAATATTTGCAATACAAACCTGGAGTAATGTGACCACTCTTATTGTCTAAGCACTTGAAATGAATGTTCACTGCTTTGTCCTCTTTTGAATAATCACAGTCCCAAGTGCAAATCAAATGTAAATTTTACCTGGTGCAGATTATTGCTGAAAAAGGATGGTTTTGAGTCTAGTTCGGAATAAAATATGCAAAGGTGTAATTTTCGTTCTAAATTTCAACAAAGCCTATTCTTAAATTCATTCAATTTTTCTCTTGATTGGGGTAAAAATAGTTTTGTAATGTCTATACCATGTTTACTTTACAGGTTTCTGCTGTGAAGTCTTACCTCAAAAGGATGAAATCCCTTCCTCCAGAATCATACTACAATATCAGTGGCCGTGCCTACCCTGATGTTGCCGCTCTATCGGATAACTACTGGGTTGTGTCCAATCTAATCCCTATTCCTTGGGTGTCTGGAACATCTGTAAGTTAAAGCTACGTGATCTTACATGAAGAGCACTGTACAAATGTAAATGATTGTTATTAATCTACAGAAAAGTGCTGAGGTTCTAGCTGCCAGGTATCTGTTGATCGGTGTAAGATATTATCCTTTTATATTTGACTCAGAGTCAGCAGTACTAAAGAAAGCACCATTTGGATATGGCTTCCCATTTGTGTCTATAGGATTTTGATCTCGGTAATTGATCAGAGCATATTCGTAGGGAGGGAGCCAGTCGCTAAAAAAAGTGCACATTTCTCACGCCCAAGCAATTTGGGCTTTTGGCAAACCTAGAGATGTCTCAAATCCCAAACCTTAACATACTGTTCACTGGTAATCTGGTACTCAACAAGGTAAGGAAAAGAAAACCAAATGAGAATCTTTCTCAGCAGAAACAGCAGTCCACCAGGATTGATAATCTCGTACTGCAAAATGCATCGTCCCTTGAACTCATTCCCAAAGTGAAGTGCAATGTTTGAGTGACTGAGGCCCTAGCATGGTTCCTTTCTGCCTGCTATCATTTCCTCCGTTCTCCCAATATGTGAGTGAATGTGAAAGTTCTCGTTCCCTTTTGAGATTTAACACACCTTTAATTACAGGAACATTTTTTTTGTTTGTGTGAAATAAATCTGTTCCAGTGTATTTTTTGTTGCTTCAACAAACACATAGGAATTTTTTTTTTTTTTCATGGATACTTTTGTTTGGATGTTTGGGTGTAACACCTAAGACTATTCACTGAAACTGAATTTGCTTTCACGGCAAGATTCATAAACACAAACGTGGCTTAAAAGGCTTTAATTCAGCTGTGACTTCCACAGCACATTTTCCAATTACTCAACAGAGAAATTTCTGAGTGAACTCTTCTGCATTCTGAGCAGATTGTATGCGCAACAAGGGATAAGCATCACTTCCAGTAAGCCGAGTTTTCATTTAGTTCGCCAGGCTGAGCCAAATTCATTGCATTTTAAACAAAATTCCAGGCAGTATCACGCAATAACAAAGGTATAATTACTACTGCTCTAACAGCAGTTCTGTTGTCACTGTGGTGGCTTCAAAACTCACCAAAAGAAATGGTTGTTTCACCAGAGCTATCAGAGGAAGGGATCCTTCCAGTGGCAATCTGACCAGCATTTTACTTCCACTAGAAGGGTTTGGGGACTGAGTGAGTCAGACTGGCTATAGAAGCCAGCAATAGCTTTTCAGTGCCTGCGCTGTGTTGACTTTCCTCAAATCACAGGGATTATAGCGGCCAGAAATAAAGTTCCAATAACAACTACGAGCAAGCATGTAAAAACAGCTCTCTTGTGACATCAGGACACTCATGCAGTACTCTGGCAGCTTAGCCGTTGCAAAGTGGTTCGCAGTGTTCTCACTTTTACTCACCTCAAACTCACCTCGCAAGCAAACGGACCTGGGTTCGATTCCCGGCAGGGCGAAACATTGGGCAAGTTTCCTTACTCCACATGCCTCTGTTTACTTAGCAGCAAGTAGGAACCCGGTTCTTCGATTGGTGGATTGCTTTTCCGTGGGTAATAATTACTTTAAAAAAATAGTAAATTGGCCACTTCAATCCATGACTGTTTGTGGGACACTGCAATTGGCTGCTGTATTTCGCCCATAAAATATAGTCAATTCACTTTACAGTGTATTCTGTGAAGCGCTTTGAGACTTCTCGAAGGCGTGATATGACGCTGTATCAAATGCAAGGATTATTATTCTCTTTCTGGCCCAACTTTTTTAAAAATCAACCAAGCCCATTATCGGAAAAGGTCTTCAAATAATGTACATTAAAATCTATGGAGCATTTTGGGGTTCATTTAGTGAACACACCACAGAAATAGCGCATCTGTGTTTTGCTTTTTCTCTGCAGGCCTCAACGCCAGTCTTTGGTGGTATTTTGGCCCTGATAAACGATCGCCGGTTCCAAAAAGGTCTTCCAGCTCTTGGTTTTGTAAATCCACTGCTTTACAAGCTGCAGGAAAATGGCACATCCCAAGCCTTCTTTGACGTGAGTTAGATGGTCGAAAATGGACCGGACTGAAACTTGCACATCGAGTTTGTTGCAATGACATTTTATATTTTTTAAAAGATTGCTATTTCGTGCATCTGTCTAAGTTCAGAGATGTCTTTTGGTATTAATTGTTTCAATGTTTTGTAGCTGACGTTGCCTAAACAGCAGGAGAGCAGACAGATTTGGAACAATTATCTCAGTCTATAGCCTCAACACTAGTTTAGTTCCACGACGCGTAGATTGTCCCCTTATATGCACCAGTGTGCTTCTCATTTCCTATGCAAGCTGTCTTTGTAGCAAATTAGTGTCAAATGTGGACAGGTATGCATATACTAGGAACTAGATTTAAATGGCTGCAAAACTCACTTGGGACTCTTCAATAGTTAGAGAAGAAAAACTTACTCTGTCCTCCCTCTGGTCCACATTGTTTCAGATGAAGAGAAGGAATCAAATAAAAGGTACATTAATGTTGAGCAAGTTCAGATCTTGTAGCCATTAGCTTTAACAGTTAGAGTGAAGAACCGGAAACAGGGTTGTGAATATGCTCTGCCCTAGAAAGCTGCAGAGGTTGAACCGGTACAGATATTCAAATGAGATACACATATAGTGGAGGTATTAAGGGCTAAAGCAAAAAGTACGAGACATTGGGATTAAAAGATCTACTAACATTTAAAACTAGTGGAACAGGCTTGATGGCCTAAAATGGTCTCCTCCTGTTTATCTATATTCCTATGAAGGTGTTATTTTTTCAACATGAGATTATTTGGGAAGGACAAGTTTGCAGGGCTATGGGGAGTGCGCGGGGGAGTGGGATTGATTTGGATTTTCAAAGAGCCGGAATGGCCTCCTTCTGCGCTGCATAATTCTGTGATTCGTTTAAATACACTCTTGTGCATGCATTTGCCACCTCCTGCTTGGATTACTCCCAACGCATTCCTTGCCGGTCTCCCCAGCTCCTCTATTCAAAAGATCAGCTCATTCAAAACTCTGCGGCTCACATACTGACCCGGACCAAACTCCATACCCACAACTCACCAGTTCTGGCTCAGGCTCCACTGCCTCCCCATCACCGAACAGATCGACTTCAAGATCCTCACACTCGAGTTCAAATCCATTCACTCCCTGGTACCTCCCTACCTCTTTGACCACCTCACTCCCCAATCCACCACCCGGCACTTCCGCTCAACTAGCATCAGCCTCCTGCTCGTCCCTCGCACCCTCCGCCCCACCATCGGACGTCGCGCTTTCAGCCACTACACCTCAAAACTTTGGAACACTCTCCCTCAATCCCTCTGACTTGACCCCTCTCTCGCCTCTTTCAAGTCCCAACTTCAAAACCTTCCTCTTCGACTGTGCTTACGGCCAAGTACCCCCTCCTCGCGGCTCAGAATCAGGCTCCACCACTGTTAAGAGCTCTGAAACGCTACCCTGCTATGAACTGAATTTCACAATTCTGGCTTCAATCCTAGGTGACCGAAGGATGCCATTTGGGTTGTCTGGATGAAAGAACGCAAGCCCAGGGATTCTGTACTACCGAGTTCTGGGATCCTGTAACAGGTTGGGGGACACCCAACTATCCAGCATTACTCCAGGCACTTCTTGCTTACAAGCAGGATTATCCATGATTGAAAGGAGCGAGACAAATGTAAATCCCATGCTTATGTTTTGAATACGCCTTCCATGAACATGTGCCTCATTTTTAATCACCGTTAAAGTCACTTTTATTAACGGGAAAAAAATGTTTGAAGTCGTGCTTAACTACCACTTCATGGAATTATTGTGTGTTTCTTTTTTTTTAAAAAATCTGGGTGAATCCAATGATTTGGGCTAATGCTGCTGCAGCAAATCCACTCTCCCATTAGTTTAACAAAATGCTGTTTTCAATACAATTCTTTTCATATTGCACTGTGTTGATTTTCTTGATGGGAAGTTGATAAATTAAGCTTCGTGCTAAATAGATTGGAAATTTAAGTCTATTTGTAAACTGGCCAATTGACATTAAATCGATCAAAAATATCAACTCCAAATTAATGAGGACAAGATACGCAAAACTTGTGTAAGCACAAAGTACTCTAAACCTGCTGCTTCTGTAATTAATTAAGCTGTCAGCAGCTGGTTATCTAAGTGGATGGTTTACATCCCCGAAATGGCACCCTGAGTTGCCGAGCAGTTATAGGATGTTACCTACTGATTATGACCATTTGTGATGTGCTGCCGATACCTGAATAATTAGGTCGCAGACTTCTAATTTAGTGTGTTGAGACATTTGAATAAATGTGCTGATGAAAAACTGTGGAAGGGTTTTATTTACATATTCATACAGAAAATAATGAGTATAAAAATAAAGTGCATGTCACAGTGAGCATGGTCAAGGAAAGGGTAGCAGTTCTTCAAGATATTTGCATCTATCAACTTTGTTTCCTTCAAGTCGACCCTACCTGATCAGGCACCATCTCTGGATCAAATATATAGTGAAGATAACGGTAGATCTCTTCAGCTCTTCGCCGGCTAATCTTTGTTCGAGCAGCTATTTCATCCACAGAGCTAGAGAGAGAACATTACAACTTGTCAGCTTAACTACAAATTTGTCATGTCTTCCACTGCAATGCTAATTATTAATGAAATTCTGCCAAGCATGACTCAATGATGCTCACCCAATACCACTTGGAATAATAATCTTTGTATTTGATATCGGGCCTATCACATCGTCAGGACATCTCAAAGCGCTTCACAAAGCTTACTTTAAAGTGTAGTAACTGTATTTGAGCATAGCAATATCCTACAAATAGACATGAAGAGAATAACTAATTTTGATGGGGGAATGATGGCCAGAATAAATTTCAGTGATTTTATACTACTGGCCTGAACCTGCATAAGGAACCAATTCAGAACACAGGTATTCCCCAGGTCCCAAACCTCCTGGATATATAATTCTAATGTGAGTAGAAAACAAAATGCAAACAATACACTTCACTGACAATTCTGAAGTGTAAATCTTAAATCATTAACCAGTAATCCTTCCTTCCATATTACCATGGAGTGAGTATCGATAGTGTACAGGTCTCCAACATTCACACACAGATACATGGCAAAGCAATAAATTAAACCATCCCTCATGATCTTCACAATGCGCCTCAATTCTACACTTTGGACGGACCAGGCAGCTTGGAATGATTTTATGGCAACAATCTCTTCAGAGTATGGTACCAATTTTAAATTGATCTCACACCATTATCATTACCATCAGATAGCTCGCGGGCACTTTAATCTATATTCAAACAGCACTTTCGTAAAAGGCAAAAATGTCGCTTCTGTTACATTATAACCAAAGGAACCCACTGGGAGAGTGTATGAGTACACAATTGATTAAAGTACATGTTTCATCACCAGGAGTGTTTTAATAACAAACTAATCAAAAAAGAATTGGGATAAAATTTGATATCCTTTCAATCTTTTTTTGCGAGCTACGTCTCGATTTAAACCTGGACACCATTTCGGAAATAGCCTGGAGGAATTTTTATTTGAACACGAGCATGAGGGAACTGAATTACTTTGCATCAGATGAAGTGCTTTAGGTTAATGGCGGTTTAAAATATTAAATCAGCTCCTCCATACGGTCAGAATTAGTAAATCTTTGAACCTAGAACTCCACTTCATCGATGTTTAATTTATTTTTAAAAAAGGTCTTTTTGTTTTAAAAAAAATGCATTTTTAAACAAAAAGTCAAAGGGCCCTGATGGTCAGACTGCCTCTAAACATCACTGCATTCCAACAAAAATAAATTGCTATTGCGGAAAATGTTTTCTTGTGATTGATGAAGTGGTCCCTGATGAATGCTCGAGGTTGGATCTGACAATCATCTTGGAAACCACAAAGACAATAGCAGCGACGTTTGTGAGGAGACAACATGACGTCAACTATGTTTTTAAAAAGAAGCAGCTGCTGTGTGGAGATCTCAAGAGATACATTTCTTCCCCTTACAAGACTCATGCAGACATAGTGTTTGTGAGGTAATTGCCAGCTTTAGGCGGTTCAAAAAAAACAAAATTAGCTTCTTGCAAAATGTGCACATACTTAACGACATTAACTCACTTTCACTATTTCCCAGTAACATCCAATGCAAATGCTCCTCTTTATAATACAATCAACGTGAGAGCTTTGCATTCATCTGAATGCCACGGTGCCCCACCCTGTAAATAACTAATATTGCAGAAGCTACGGAAATCAGGAAACTTCCTTACCTGTTGACCATCTGTTTCACTGTGCTGAACCGGTGACAGAGATTCAAAGCAGTTATGTAACTTATGCCGGGAATGCTGAGATAGAACCGCAGAACATGTTGCTGAGGGCCTTTGACCTCTGGTGGGACAGTAATCGCGGCATTCTTCCTTTGTTCAACCCGGGCAAGATCAGCGATCAGACCAGCGCTTTCCTCCTGGCTGAAGCTGAAGAGCATTCGGATTCCAGCGGCAGTCAGCGCAGACAGCAAGCCATCAAAGTACTTGGTTCTGTGGAAAATCCTGGATGTTTCTCCTGTAGTTGATTGAAATGCACAAGTTCAACGTGGTTTATTTTTGCCTCAGGCAAAAAAATAAAGCTATGAACCAGTCAGGTTTAATAACATTATAAAAAAATTCAATATGACAATTTACCTCTAAAAATAAAAATAAACCTTAATAAAACAATGACGACTACGGCGCTTAAAAATATCCACACAGGTTATAGACACACAGCGTAACATTTTAAACTTTAAACACTTTTACTGCTCTCGTGTGCAGTAAACCTCATCTGGGATTGCTCAATTCCACATGAAAAAAAATCCACTTAATGCATACAGTATAAAAGTTACCATACCCTAGAAAGTACTTATAATAATAATCCTTTTTAAGCCTAAAGAGATTGCAACAATTTCTAATCTGGTAAGGTGAATCAAATGCTTTTTTTCCCCCATCAAAATTGTTCGGTTGTTTCAAACAAATTGCATTCAATTGCCTAAGAAATAAACTATTCTGGGTCTAAATCTCTCAGAAGGTTGAACAAACAGTATTGTGATAAAGCACAGGTTCAGAATGTGCGAAACAATGGCAGAAACGTCTCTCACCTGCTTTAGTTCGATCTTTCTCCAAAATTATGCAGACCCGTTCAAACATGGCCTGAATGCTCTGAATCTGTGCCACCAGCTTACTTCGGTTTGAAATATTACTGAATTCCAACAACAACTTTCTTTCCACAGCCATCCGGTTGCTCACTATATAATCACACCCACTGAGAGAACAAATCCCAGTCTTAATGCCGTGCTTTGTGCGTAGAAAAGAGATGAGGTCTGGTCCAGAGGAGACCTCACGACTGTCGACAAGTACCACCAGTGGTGCTGCCTGGTCAAATCCATCTGGAGGTATGGAAATGCTGCTGTCTTTAGGTAATGCTTCACTTGTTCTTGCGACGTATCTGTTATCACCCACCAACATTTTTTCTGTCTGCAAATGGAAATGTGCTTATTTTATAACCACAATTACATTAACTCTTGGATAGATTGATGTGAAGAAGTTATGAGTGGATTACTGCACAGGGTTTGGAAAACTCAGCAGGAAGACTTCCACACCCTTGGAATGAACAGTGCCTATCGTTTGTATGATATGGGCCAAAACTGGTTTGCATAGAAGAATGACCACTTATGTCTGCAGTGCAGAGCGTTTCTGGCGCACGTGTTTTTATAATACTCGCAACAAAAGGGGATACAGAAGGAGACTCAATTAACAGTCAATACTTACCACATTAACAGCACACAACCTGTCCAGTTCAGGTTTGCTCTGCAATCTCCCCTTCACTCTCGAGGTAGATGCAGCTTCTGGGGCAGAAGTTGAATATTTCTCCGTTTGAAAGTCCAGTGCTTCAGATACATCCGCCTGGAGATTCAAGCGCATCTGACACCTTTTTTCCAACGAGTAAAGCTCTGAAGACTTTTCTTGTTCAGCACACGCTGCTTGTTTTTGGAGCAAAGTAGTTTTTGAAACATGGGTTTTATAAGAACTATCTGCTTTGATTGATTCTGAACATAAGACAGTCTCTTTACTGCTGCTCTGTCGTGACCCCAATGATTGCTTATTCAAGTTCACCTCCAGTTCGTCTTCACTCGAATCTTCAATTACAATGATTCGACTCCCTTTCTTCTTTTTGGTTAAAGCGTCCTCGCTACTATTCTCAATTCCTGCCAGTTTTGTCCTCGCTCTACGCCGAGTCATGTACTCCTTTCTTCCTTCGGCAAAGGATTCATTGAAGAGATCAAAATTAAGGAGATCAAAATTAACAATCTCATCGTCACTCAACAAGTCGGTTTGATTATCATTCTCTTCCTCTTGAACACAGAAGCTGTCCTCCATATAGGTCTCATCCTGTTCAGGTATCTTTCAAAAGAGACAAAAAAAAAATCTCTTTATTCATATAATCCAACACGAACATATAATAATTTGGTGTAGTAATCAAATGTTTTCTTCTATATCTACTAACAGTGTTTCCTATTAAGGATGGTATATGCTATAAGGCATAGAACTATGATTTCATAAAGCTATTAAACTCATTATCTTGTTATGTACAAGCAAGCATGATTTATGAAAAAAAGCATTTCAAGTCTATTTGATCTAATATTGTACACTTCTTGACACCTATAGTACTACAGGCGAAGGCACAGATATGTAGAGACTGGCTATCCTCTGAGAATATCCTGCAACGGATGAGCCAACAGGAAGAGAGAGTAAGGCATTAAATTAAATCTGATTAGATTCTGCAGCATTTGTTGTGACAGCAAAGCTAAATTACACCACAGCAAATCTTTACAATTTATTCCTCAAAGTTCTCAAACACACAGGAATTGTTTGCCGTCAGGTTATGTGACTAGTTCGCACAGACAACAGATCACATAGAGGCCAACAAATGGACAGTCAGATCTTACCTGAGAAAAGATGGCCATGTCTCTTTTTCTGCTCGCCTTTCTGTTCCGAACACGAATATTTGGACTTCGAACAGATTTCAGGTAAACTTCTTGCATATCAGAATCTGGAAGAGTTGGTTAGAAATGTAATGGATTAAGATTTGGGATGCGAGAGATAAAATCCTCTATCGAAATCAAGCAGATTCTTCCAGTTCAGAATGAAGGTAATTACCATTCAAAGCCTGTGAAAGCTGGGAGTTGTCATTGATGAAATCCCGCAAAGCAGCTTCATCATGATCCGAGTTATCTTCATCAGAGGACACGCCTTCCGCTCCCTCACAGGAAAGCTCTGCCTCTTCTTCCAGAAACTGACGAGCAGCTTGCTGACAAAACACAAGCAGTACCCCTGCCGATTAAAACTACGTCCACACAGACAACTTTCTTCACTCCAGGAACTCCAGATACATACTGCAGTCTGCAGGAGACATTTGCATGAAATGTACTCATCACATTGTCCTGGGCACTGTGTTCAATTGGCTGCCGCATTTCGTCCACAAATTAAACAATCAATTCACTTGACAGTATATTCTGTGAAGCGCTTTGAGATGTCTCAATGACGTGATAAGGCACTGTATCAAATGCAAGGATTATTATAATCAGGAAACAACAGAGCCGATTTTTGTGAGAAGAGAATTATATTATATAATTATACTATAGAATTATACCGTGCCTTCAGCTCCCCTCTCGACTCTCTACCCCCTCCTCGCTCCCTCCCTTCACCCTGACCATATACCCCCTGCTCGGGTCCTGACCCAACTGTACAGCGCCTTGGGACGTCCTCCCGACGTGAAAGGCGCTCTATAAATGGAATCTTGTTGTTGTTGTTGTTGTGTACTAGCGGAATACAGTGAAGTTGTCACAAAATAAACGCTAAAGTTGTCCTTTAATAAACTCTGAATAAACTACTCTCAGTTCAATTAGACTGAACTGATACAGAAGAGGCTCAAGTTAAAAATCACCCACCAAATGAGCTGTACAAGTTTACATCACTGTATCCAGTTCAATTGTTTCATATGCAAAGCAGTAGCTTGAATAGAAAAATGTTTTGGTCTTTATTAAAGATATTGTAAGAAAACGCAAAACACTCTGTAATTAAATATTGCATGACTAAAAGGGTAAACAGTGTGCAGTAAATGGATCTCTTCTAATCCTATGTCAAAACTCGAATTTATTTATATATTCCATGCCAGTACAGAAGTATGATTCATTTACAAGAAAATTGCAGTCAGCACCAACTCATATGACCTGAATCGCTCAGAGTTCTACCCGAGGCTGTTTCTATGGCAGCCAGCCACATTTTTTAGCCAGGTTGAGCAAATCCAATCGATGTGAAAGCTGTGATCAAAGCTGTCAGACACCCACAGTAGATTGTCCAAAAGGTAAACTTTATCCATTATGTGGAAAATATTACAGCGACTGGATGAACATCCATTGATTTATTTTGGTCAGCTGGTATCTGACACATGCGAAAACCCATGCCATGCTTAAGAGTAACCAAACTAAACTGAGATTATCCATGGACCCCACCTACCTATGAAAATTTCAGAGATAGATTGTTGGAATGGAATAAAAACTTTGACGTGATTGAATTAGGATCACGGCAAAGTTCCAAAATACTGAACTGTCAGTATGTACAAAAGAGGGGTAAGAAATGAAAATTACAGCGATATCATAACGTCATATGGTTAAATAAGGTCATTAATACAGCCCTTCTCCATAATTCTATTAGCAATGGACATCGTAAGGGGAGGAAGGCAGTATATAGTGAGGGCCACATGATTTGTGTGCGGATGCACAATTAGTGAAAGCGGCTCCAAGGATGGGACAAGGGCAGCAACCGAACGTTTGAGTAAAATAGCATTATTGTTCCAGGAAGCAGAAACATTATGCAACTTAAATACATAGTAATCCAGAGCGTTATACCTTGTTTTCTTGGTTGGGAAAACCTTGCAGGAGTATGCAATGATGGTTTTACCTGACAGCTCATGCGCAAAAGGTTTTCGTTGGTGTTACTGCTGTAACGTAATACCTGCAGGTCATCAAAGGAGCTCCTGGAATAATGAAGCACATAACGTTGACTGCCACCTACCTTTCTCCAGATTTTGGACCTTTTGATATTGCTCTTGGCTGAAGTTGCTCTGAAATCATCATCACTGTCTGTATCTTTTAACTGAAAAAAGAAATCAAGCACAAATAAAAGTTAAATTCTATTTGCTTTGCAGATGTGAATGACTAGGCTTTCTAATTACTGGTTACACATCTCCAATGGGCTGTTCATCTTCACACATCTCTATTCAGCAGCAGGAAGCATAAAAAAGTCAGCCTTCACTGTTATGGTCTTTGATGCCAGTATTTCTCTGTATTCAGTTGATAGGAGGCAAGACAAAAATCCTCTACCCCTCGTTTCACCACTTCAGTGCTATTTTCCACCAAAGAGCTGACCTTTGAATTCATAAATGTTAAATCTCTTGTTCACCAGCTAACAAATGCTTGGAAATAATGCACAGTCACAAAGATTTAAATTATAAACAGGACATATGCATTTAGGACATATAATTGCACTGCAGAGTTGTCCTGAAAGACTCTTGCAGAACATCTAACAGCTTTGGAGTACTATTGATATAACAATAGACACATCTATAACTCATAAGTAGTTCCACAGAATTTACATACATCAAGTGCTTTCCTGGGCTTTTTGACGGCATGAATAGGTGATTCAATATTGCTGGTTTCTTGTACCTACAACAAAGAAGAAACATTGACAGTAAACAAAAGCACAGAAATTAGTGATACTGATAAATATTTAGCATGAAAATATTAATTGACACACATTAAAATGGTATGGTCCTTCATGTTATATATAAATATCAGAAGCCATCATCTAATAGCAGCTTCTGTGAAGTGAGTGGTGTGACTTAGACTCCAATGGCGGAAATAGAAAGGTTAGCACTCGTTTACTGCAGCTATTCTTTCGAGTGGGACAATTTTTTTTAAATATTCAAAGAAATCATTATTTTCCTCTTCAAATTTTCATTTACTTGCTGTCCTTCTCTTTGGTTTCCAAGATAAATCATTTCCAAGAGAGAAGCTAAGTGACTTGCTCCCTGCTAATAGAGCTGCCTTCTTTCCTGTGAGGAAATTGCCCAACACTTATCACCATCAACGTGATTTCTTATTCTTCCCCCCTTGTTGTGAAGATGAAACAAGCACCAATTGCTATAAGAATTTATTTGCCGTTTTACTTGAGAACAAGTACATCATATTAGAGTTCAAATAACACACGAGACATTATTTCATTTTAACAAGTGCAAAATGCATTTAGTAGATATCTGCAGATTATTGATGGGCTTTAAATAACTCACCTCAGGAGACTCCAGAATTTTGGGATTGACTCTTTTACCAGGTCTTCGGATAACCTCCTCCTCACTTCCACTCGTGCACCCACCTGTGGAGAGAATGGTTTTGCTTCTTATAAGATATTAAAAAACATAAGGAAACTTAGAATAGTGAACAAACAGCCTTTTGGCCAGTCTGCACCAAGATCTCATTGTGGGACCTCAAGCACTGATTGATGCTGAGTCTTTTTTGATCTTATGCTCTTCCTGAAAATAGATGAGGCAGCTGGAGACTTTTTTATGCTTAATTGATTTTCAAGAAGAAAATAAATAGGCGCAGAAGTTTTATTCAAAAAAATGCAATTTCCCTGTTCCGAATACTGAGCAACGACTGAACTACAAAACAAATCCAGATGAGGGCCCTCTACATGAAGATTTCTCACTGCAAACTACAGAATTATAGTACTGTCGTGAAACAACCCAAATTGATGATCTGGAACCAGAGAGACGGCAATCGTATCATCTCTCTTAACAAAGTCAGATAAATTGCATCTATTTATAGAAGGAGTGGAGTTTTACAAAAAGATGGATTACAAATCAGCTTAACATGAAGGGTAAAAGATGATGACCTTGGACTAATGCAGGAAACAAGAAGCATTGCCGATTAACACGACTGTCATAGTAAGTGTGGCTTCTCGATTACTATTGCTTTTCTACCCCAGATATATACACCAGACTCGACAGGTTCTATATCTCTCTAGTCCCAAACAGTTCTCCCGATCAGCATTTAAAATCAACATAACTACATCGATAAAATGTTGACAGACAACAACAGCACTTTGAAAGTTACAAATCTCAATCAGGATTCAAAAGCTAAATAAATGGAATTAGTTGTAAAGGTCACCACAAGCACATCATGCATAGACTACACATAAACAGAACCAGAGAGTATCGCAGTAGGTTTGAAGGTTTCATTAAGTTCAGGCACAGACACTACCAGTATCCCCTTGAACTGCACCTTTATCAACTCCTCGCCCCAAGAAATCCCTCTCCCCAACTGTCCATCCACCCAGACACCTTTATGCCAAAGCCTATTCAGACAGGCAATGTAAAAGGAAATTTCATGTGCATTAATGCTCAATGCAACGCTGCCCAACATTCTTCCAGAAGACAAACAGAACTGCCGATTGCACGCGCGATCATCATAAAAATATGGCCTGGAGACAGACACCCTTCTGAGATTCAGTTGCACAAATGGTTTCGCACAGTTGAATGCAATCTTAGAGTTGAATACTGGGTTTGTACAACAACAACATTACATTTGTATAGCGCCTTTCACATCAGGAGGATGTCCCAAGGCGCTGGACAATCAGAGTTTCAGACAGTCAGAGTTTTGGACTACATTAAAGTTATTGAGCTTAAGAGAACATACACCTTTACGTTTAAGGGTGTTTACAAACTTCTCACAGTCAGCAGTCAAACTGTCTGCTGAAGATGGCACCTTGTTGTTGTAATTGCAGTTTAGGTACAACATCTGGTATTAATCCCAACGTAGATCAAAATCCATCACTGAGTGTAGATTTACTGGTTTACAATGCAGCTCAGTCAGAAGTATTAATTTGTGTTTTTTTTAATAAAAGACTGCATGCGTATTGGTTAATTTTATTCACTGCTGATAACATTTTGCTGAATGCTTATATTCAAATCATGCTGGCGAACGCAAGCACTACAAAAATAATGCACTTTAAAACAAAATCATGGCCTCTGGACCTTCGACTGTTCTTAAGTCATGCGACAGTAAATCCTGCCGAACATTCCCACAACAGGAGAACAAGCAGCATTGTTCACTGCAGCACGAAAATAAAAAAAAGCGACTGTGAAGAGCCCTGAGAGACAAGGCTTCTTTCAGCATTTCATAACTCATAAAAATACTAACACAAGAATTTAGATTTAATATGCCCTTGATGATGGATATCTGGGTAGCTGCCATCTTGGCGCATTTCAACACTTTTCCTTCTGAAGTTATATTAACACAAATCAGCACCAGGTGGCTGCATTTTTCCCCCCCAATACGAATTCAAGGAAATAATTCTACAACATTCAGTCTGTGCCAGAGTGTAGTCCGTGTCAAAATTTCTCCAACATGAACCCAACAGAAAAATAGGCACCAGTGCAGTGTGGTATAGTGTATAGTTTGGTTGTTATACCTGGTCATTGAATTAAATAATATTTATCAAATTTAGTCAAACTAAAATCTAGAAGCTACTCCCGGTTGAAAGTTGAAATAAACTTACCATTAACTGGTGATTCAGGTATTTTGTGAAAAATGCTCTTATTTCCATGAGCTTCACTTGTGTTATTGGTCCCAGAAGTTTCACCAAATGATGCTGACTTAGTCAAAGTTCTCCTAATCATCTCAGACTTTCTTGTAGCATTGCGCGGAACACCAGTTTGGGAATTTTTTGATGGAGGAGTGAAAGATACCGTACTGTGGAGTTTGGATGAGGACATGCACTTTTGTTTTGGTGTTGAAATGTCTACAAAGGTTGGAGAAAAGGGAGAGGACACCGACTCTTTCTGATCAAACTGGTGGAGTGGAGAATGCTCTGATCTTGTCAAGTCTTGTTTTTCCTCATAAGGTAATTCTGTTCTTCCGTATTTTACAGTCGAGTGTTTGAAAGACACCACCGGTGTTGAAATAAATCTATTGAATCTCGGCACTTCTGAAGTTACTTTTGGCTCAACTGTGTTATTGCTACTTTCCTGGATCTCAAATGGACATTTATCTAGTGCTGACTTTCCTACCTCTGGCTTCTCACAAGATGATCTGTCCACAAGACGATGCTCTGCGGAATTCGCAGTTTTGCTGTACATTTGATTCAAGTCATCACCAGTTTCTAAATTTGAATCCAGGTTTTCAAAAGAAAACCCAAGATCAAAATTCACAGAAAATAGTTCTTCGGAGCAATTATACACATCGCTCTCATTGGCCTTTCCTCGATGCTGATCAACGTGCACATTTTCAGCAGGCTTTTGTCTTGGGCAAGAATTAGGGGAAAGTAATGGCCGTGTTGCCATTTGTTCAGGGTCTCGGTTATCCAGACTTACACTGGCACATGGTTTAGGAATCTGTAGTTGCTCAGTGAACTCTCTACTGAGGCCAGAGACATCCTGGAAAACAGAATGGTTTTTGCTGCAGTTGGGGAGATGAAGAGCTGAAGCACCATCAACTCGCAACTGCTCACCTTCAAACAGCGGCAAGCTCTCCTCACATTCCAACAGTGTGTCTTTCAGAGAATCATTGTGGGTTTCAGGTTTTTGGTTTGAAAGAGCAAAGCAGTTGGAAGGATCATGCAATTCTTTTGTGTGTACGCTTGGTTGAGCTTCACCATATTTTTCTGGGTCTTCTTCACTGTCAGTATCAAATACATCATCCCAGGAAGGACTTAACGCAGCATCAATACCATGATTATTAAAAGGTTCAGGATGGAGATTTGGCTCATTGAAATGCGCTTCAGTAGTGATTCTTGGTGAATCATCGATTAATTGTTCACTTTGAATATTTGCTGGAGAGGTTTTCAAATTAGAATCTCTTCGATTTTCTTTGTAGTTTACTTCTTCCCACAGAAGAGATATATCTAAAGGAGGGGGAGACTCACTAAGAAATGCTCTCACATTTTCCAAAACCATTTGAATACTGGCAGGAACTGGTGCTGCTGTATGGCAAGATGGAAGCTCAGCCGTAGGCGAATAAGAATTCTTGCTTCTTTTTGGATTTGCATGGTTGCATTTTTGCTGTGGTAGCTGAGTTGTGTCTTGAGTTTTGAAAGAGTCCGGGAGGTAAAATAGGTTGGACAAATTTAACCCATTCACTGAAGTTTCATCAACAAAACTATTGTATCCCAAATCAATGTTGTTCAATTCACGATATTTGGAAAAACACCCGAGAGTTTCAACTCCTATTTTATTCAGAACATTTTGATTTTGATGTGATTCACTGGCACAAACCTCTTCCTGCATGATCTCATTCATGTCCAACTCCATCTGCTCTTCTGGCTGGTTACTTGGCTTTGTGAGACATTCCTTGGAGCTGAATGCAGAACAACTTGCAATGTTTTTCTCTTTACTATTCCAAAGGACAGAATGTCGAGATTCCTCACTTGTCTTGGATTTTGCCGTTTTGAAGTCTTCACACGGAATCTTTGTTCCTTTCATTTTACCTACTTTGAAAAATGATAGTTCCTCATCGTCATTGGTTAATGTGTTCGACTTGCTTATGGACTTGTATTTTTCGTGTCTCGATTTTAGCATTTTCTGAATACTTTGATGAAATCCAACGAGGCGACCAGGTGCAATTTGGGTAGGTGCCTTAGGAGCTGCTCCAAAAACATCATCCGTATTTAAAAAGGACATAATTTCTAATGAATTCCTGTCGTCTCCCTACAAGGAAAACACAAACTAGCATTACAAAATGGAAGTGCCATAGTCAAAACATGTGAAAGCTTGTCTAAACTCTGGTATCCAACTTGCAAAGTGGATTGCAGCGCGCACATGGATATAAAAATCAGAGGATTAAAAGCAAAGGTATGAAATATGGAGACTGACACCACATAACACTTGTTGAATCTGTTTTCTCATCAAGTCTCCCAAGGCCACTCGCACATTAAGGAACAACATTGATTTATTGAACAGCCTGCCACAAAACGCAGGGGGGTATTCAAAGGGCACTTCCGGAGGTTAATCCCTTCTGAAAAAAGGCTTAAAATCAGGACGAGAAACAGCAGCACTCAAACATACAGGATGACAGTTTGAGAAATGAAAGCAAATCATACAAGTGCCGAACAGGACTGAGATGTATCTAACTAGTCATCCTTCAAACAAGGAGAGTACCAATACCTCCTTCTAAGAAGTCAGCTAGCAAAAAGGAAAATGGCCTGAAATTGTTTAAAACCTATGCAAATCGATAATTTATACTTTTAAAGCAATTACTACATAGAAAAACATACAGCAATCGAATCTTTTGAACTGTGACAACAGGAAACCCTGATCTGATGGTGGAGTTCCATTTTCTAAAAGCAAAACTCCATTTCAAATATACTATTTCAGATATGTACAAAATCTGAATCTTATAATCACACTATTCCCTCCCACTGTAAATCAATTACAGATCAAACTATGTGGACTAACCATATTCAAGTCCAATTCCAGTATAAACTGAAATGAAATATAACAAATGTCAATCAAATGCTTCTTTCTGTATAGCACCCATTTGCGTAAGATGTGTTTTGTTCAATGTGTGAATTTGTGCATTTACAGTACAAGTTTACAAAGAGGATAAAAGTAGGTCATGCAAGTTGATGTCAATGCTTCCCCTGCCATTCATCCCATTAAGTCACTGAGTAAGCTTAACATAATCAAGCCTTACAAAGTAGGTCACAAGTAATTAACTAAGCTTTTCTCATAATGAATGGACCATTACACCTCATGTACAATGCCATTTGTTAAGTGCTGCAATAATCGGTGTGATCCACTAGGATCATTTGAAATACTAAGCATATTAAAATCAAAATAATTGATTTTAACCGTTACAAATAACCGTTAGAAATAAACGTAAAATCAAATGCATCTGAAACTACAATGATTCCCTTACTTTTAATAAGAACTTATGTTCTCATTAATATATAGTTTGGGACATGGCATATCAAGCAACTGCCAGGATGGTGGAAGACAAACTGGATGGGGCTTGTTCTTCTTTCGCCAAGCAAATTCTTATATTCTTGTGTTCTGGGTATGTTACGCCATGACCGGCACTGCCTACCATCACCTCCGCAACATTGCCAGACTCCGCCACTGCCGCACCCCTCAGGCTGATGAAACCCTCACCCACGCATTCGTCACATCGAGGCTTGATTATGGAAACTCCCTCCTCATCGGCCTTCCCACCTCTTCCCTTCACAAGCTGCAAATCATCCAAAATTCTGCAGCTCGTGTACTCTCACGCACCAGGCTCCGTGACCTCATCACTCCCACCCTCGCCCGACTCCACTGGTTCCCCATCCCTCAGAGAATCGAGTTCAAGATCCTCGTCCTGACTTTCATCCATGGCCTTGCCACCGCCTACCTCTCAGACCTGCTGACTCCCTACCAACCTGCCCGCTCCCTCTATTCAGCGGGCTCCGGCCTGCTTCATGTCTCCCGCCCGACCTGCCCTACCATCAGTGGCCGGGCTTTCAGCCTCTCTGCCCCCACTCTGGAACTCCATCCCACGGTCCCTTCACCTCACTTCCTCCCTCGCCTCCTTCAAGGCCGGTCTCAAGACCCTTCTCTTCGATCATGCCTTTCGTCGCTCTCCCACATCTCTGCTTTCCCTCACCCCTACACCACCCGTCCCCCATGCTCAGGCCCCGACACCCGATTGTTCCTCCCCCTTCCCCTGGCTTGGCCCCAGGATTTATTACTGTGAAGCACTCTGAGACGCCGTCCGGCGTGGAGGGCATTACATAAATCCAAGTTTTTGTTGTTGTTGAAAGGCACTCTATAAATGTAATTTTGTTATTGTTGCGAATATTTTCATTTTAAAATAAGGAGTAATACACCTGGAGATGAATACTTTTTTGATGTCAATGGAGGGATTTTCTTTTTCACTTCTGACTTTACTATCGGAATGAAATAACTGGAGAAGCCTGAAGGAGTTGAGAACACAGGAACAGAAAAAGACCATTCATTGAGACCAATGAGACTGCTCTGGGACTTTGTTAGATCATGTAGATCAAAAACACCCGATTTTACTCGAGTGTCACTCGAGTGCTGGAAACAGTGTAAATGTGGCAAAGGCCATTCTTTCTCAGCATCAAAACTGTAGAACTGTTCACATCTCCCAATATTCCTTCCCTTCTATAGTATACAAGTTTTTATTAAACCCAAGCTTGTAAACACAGCTGCTTTATCTATTAATTCCCCTTCCTTACGGTTTAAAACATAGAAATGTCCTGTACTGTGGAACTGGCCATGCACCAATATATGTTTATTTAATTATATTTGTGCTGTGACAGATAGTTTTCCAGCCCTTTGATTTGGTTGTGGTATTTGGTTCACGCACTAATGCTAATGCCGGCATATGTTTCCTTCTCTATCAAGATCTGAAAATACAATACATCTTTTATGCAAAAACACATTGTAGCAGCTTATAAAAGAAAAAAAAACTAAAAATGATAGCCATTAAGTCAAACTAATCTTCTAACTGTTCTACCTTCGGGTTTCTATAGCAACTAAACGTACATCGAAGTCAAAATGACAATTTTAATATCACTAAACCAGGCTCTAAAGCTGACCACGATATCATCTAAATCCCTAGTATTAAAACATATGGAACTAGAAAAGAAACACTGCTTCCATCTTTCACAAAGCCTCAGTGATAAATAGGACATACTCACAACATTTAAAAATATGCTAGATTGTAATAATTTCATTAATTTTCAAGTTACAAAAACCTGCTTTAAAGTGTAATCTTAAATTATTCTGAATGCCTTATTTTCTTTAAAGTGCTATATTAACTTCAAAGCTGCTATTTTGAATAGAGGAAAATAAAGCATTAATCAGTTCTCTTGAAAAATTCTCAATTTATTTTGTTAAAAATATTAAACATTTAGCATAAAGTTTTTTCGCCCCCCCCCATCATAACAACACCTGCTGAAAAGATTTGGTTGATCAGCATCTGAAAGAGACTGAATAGATTATTCTCTTTCATTTACTAAATGACTGGCTGTTTATTTACAATATTTCCTAAATTTTAATTCAGATTTCCAAGAAGTTTCCCACCTCTTGCCTGAAACAGAAAGACCACATTTGAAGGGTTCATCAAGACTCTCCCCTTCGACCGTGCCTTCGGTCACCCTCCTTCGCCCTGTCCCCACCCTCCCCGATCCCCAGCTCAGGTCCAAAACACTGATTGTCCAGAGCCTTGGGACGTCTTCCTGATGTGAAAGGCGCTATACAAATGTAATTGTTTGTTTAAAAAGTACCTCTTGAAACGTGCTTATGGCCACCTCGCCCTTCTCCTCCCTCCTCTACTCTCTTGCTCAGCATCCAACCCCTTTTTTGTAACGGGCACCAAGACATTACTCTGGTGAAGGGCACCATACAAATGCTGTTTTTGTTGTCCCAGCATATCAGAATGAGGGTCGCACTAGTGATCAGCTAATGACCTTTGGGCTAATGTACCCAATTGGTAAGTCATGCAAGCTTTCCATCTCCTTTGTTCAGTTATACTCGTGTGTCTTTCATTTGGATAAGGTGAAAGAGCTGAGATTAGTGGTGGTTTTGCCATAGCACACTTTAAAGCTCTTTAATTATGGCCTGGTTAGATATGAGAATTGTGCATATTCTGCATGAGAATTTTTCTAATGGCAACAATAATAATAATAATAATCCTTGCATTTGATATAGCACGTTATCATGTCTTCGAGAAGTCTCAAAGCGCTTCACAGAAAATTCTGTAAAATTAATTGACTGTACATTTATGGGCAAAATGCAGCAGCCAATTGCGCACAGCAGTGTCCACAAACAATCGTGGATTCAAGTGACCAATTTTTTTTTTGAAGAAATTATTACCACCGGAAAAGCGATTCGCTAATCGACTAACAACCGAGTAACAAACAATGCTACTTATAATCTGCTTTGCCAACCTTTGATGGCGTAATGGGTCTCTCAAAATAATCAATTCTTGTCTAATTTTGTAGGAAGCCAAACTTCCCCCTTGTGGGGACAAGTCATCTTGCAAAATAATTCCGTTTCACGATTTCGCTCATAAAATAGTCAATCCATTTTGCAATCTATCCTGTACAGCACTTTGAGATGTCTTAACGACGTGATGAGAAACAATATCAAATGCAAGGATTATTATTATAAATAATTGTATCTAAAATATGACAGATTTCAAGCATTAGCATAGATGCCTGGGGCAGCGCTTGAATTGCTTTTCCATGTCCTAATCTTAGTTGAGGAGAGACAAGGTGAGAACAGAAAGAAAGTAAGCAAGTTACACCACTTGTTCACATTTGCCAACAATAACATTAACAGTATATACAGCACAAGAAGTGACATCAATGAGAGCCAATAACCTGGAAGTGACACATTTTCTGCGCTTCGCATATAACACAGCTTCTGAGCCGTTGGATTCAGAGGACGACATTATAATGCGGTTCCAGTGCATTAGTTACCTTACCACATATTTTAAACGTTACCTGATAGAATAAGAAACAATTGCACAACTCAAGATATTTAGTACTCAATACTGGTTTTACCACAGATTTAAAATAAACTGGACAAATATTTAGAGAACATGGTACTGATTGAATGTAATAAAGCAAGTATAGTATTTAAGCTATGACAGATATTGAAATGTTTTAAAAAAAAATGATCTCACTGACCTCTTGTTTCATCAACTCAATCATATCCATAATACTTATGAAGTGCAGGCAGCGATCAGAATGGTCAACCAAATGAGTGTAAAATGGACGATTTTGCCAGACCGCCCACTCTGACAATGAAAGCTCACGAATTGCACCAGTGTCTTCATTCACGTCCTAGAACACACACAGGATACACATATAGCACATAGAACTTTCAATGCTAAATTGGATTATTTCATTTGTTTTCTCGCTACTTTTTTTTTAAAAATTAAGTAACAGAATGAGAAATTAGTGAAGGCCACATTACAACAACTTCAATGAAGTTAGAAATTCCACCAAGACTGCCGCAGTTTTATTTTGGCAAGAACAGCGTCCCATTTATGGTAAAGCACGGATAACTGATCAAAGTTCAGAGTAAAAAAAAGTTGACGCAAATGATATAATACTGTGTAAAATAAAGGATGGAGCAAATCAGCTGATCAAAAGGACAGCACCGCGAAGTATGTTTTTCAAAGGGACCACATCACTAATGACTGACCCCCTCCCATCCCCACTCTCACAGAGATGGCAACTCTCACCTATGATGGTTGAAGCACAAGGAAGAATTGTGTTGAACTTACGAGAACATCGAGATCATCCTTTACAGATTCAAATGAAACTTTCTTCAGTTTTGGTCTCTGGAATCCATCATCATCTTTTAATCTAAATTTTGCATTCCATATTTCAGTCTCTGCTGGGGTCAAAAAGCCATCCTGCTTTGATTTTGATTGTTCTGCCAAATTAAAAATTAAATTAAAATTCAGTTCATCTTTTGCAGTCGTAGTGAAAGAAAGCAATTTCAGCAGCTGTGCTATTTTTAATCTCCATACCTTTTCCTGAATGTAAAGCAGGAACAAAAAAGGGAATATTCAATGGAATAAAACATTTCCAGCAAATGCAACTTCGCTCTTTCTTTGTAGTTTTAAACTAAATACAACCACCACCAAAACCTTCCACTCCCCGAAATGCAAATCTACTTTTATAAGATTGTTTTCTGTAACAAACAACCACCCAATAAAATGAATTGTTTCAGGATGGAGATTCTGCACATAACCTTCTATTTTGTGATCTCTCCAGTTAAAGTTTATTTTCTAATTCATCTCACAGCTGTAAGTATAGCTCTTCTGATATAATATTCAACCCAAGTCGAATATGAATTCAAAATGGATAAAATGGAAATGGGTTCAGGATACGAGGAGTTATGGACATCTTCATGGCATCTGTATGTAAATAATTAGAGAGTCCTTCAAGGATGTAAATGGGTTATTTCATAATAGTCTTCTCCATAGCAATGGTTCAGCATGCACCCAAAACACTGCATCTCCGTGGAAAGGAAAAATGCATTACGAAACATCTCTTCCCAAGTAAGAAGAATATTCCTTTTTTTTCCTGTCATACAGATGGCAGAGTGATTTGTCCCAACTACTCCTCAAGATTTTGTTCTTTATAACTATATTTTAAAAATGTGTTTATTGTAGCTATGAAAATGTCTCTCCCTTTCCCCTCCCCCGTTTAATGTTGTGGATAACCATGAAAGACCCTGAAAGCTGTTGATCAGTGTCCCTGCCCTTGGTTAGCTTCACAGAATCCAATTATTCCATGCTTACAGTTAACACGTCAATGCTTAAATTGTTCTTCACGGAAGAAACCTACAGTGCTAATCATGCATAACCAAACAAGTAAAGTGATTGAGCATAGATGACTAAAATCCATAAAGTTACCACAATGCAAAAGAAATCTCAGATTATTTTCCCTTAAAGCAGCATTTAACTTTTAAGAACAACATAAAATTTAACCCATACAAATACTGTAATATGTTGTTTTAAAACAAAACAAATCCATAGTAAGATGTGCTTGCAAAATGATCAAACCAGTTACTATCAGACAAACTTTTCCTGCCATTTCATAAGAGAGGTAAACCGTATTTTTAAGCTAATTTAAAATATTTATACGGTTGTATTACCAAAAAAAGAATTTTAAGAAAAATTAAAGCAAACAGTGATGTCTTGAGGGAATCTTTATAAATTCTATAAGATGCTGAATTATATAAAGCAAATAGATACAATGAAAGACGCATCAATTTGATCTTCTCTGGTAGTTTCAGTAATGTGGTCACTGAGCCAGGCGGTCCACATGATGCCAAGGCACTGTTGATCACAGACCAGTCAACTGGGATTCTTTGCCCTAATTTCTCATTAGGACAAAGCCCTAAAGCAGAAAGATTGCCAGTGTGCACAATTGTAAGCCGCCTGGTTCTAGCTGGTTAAATTCCACATTATTCCAACGTACACGCTGAGGCCTCCAAGCCTTAACTATTCCACCCGTTGGAACTCCATCCCACATTCCCTTTACCTCGCTCCCTCCCTTGCCTCCTTCAAGGCATGTCTTAAGACCCTCGTCTTCGACCACACCTTCAGCCAACCTCTTACCCTCCCTGCTCTCCAACCTCCCTTATCCCAGCCCTCCATTGCTTGGGTCCAAATCCCTGACCATCCAGTGCTTTGGGACGTCCTCCCAACGTGAAAGGCGCAAGACAAATGTAATTTTGTATTGTACTGCCAATCTGTGACTAAACTCTCCAGGACTAGGTAAATGGGGTGCATCCCTCTGGGGAGATGGTGTGCACCCCACAAACAAGGAAACCATACATATATTGAACTGTCAGGAGTTGTATTTAACCTGCAATCTGGAACTTGGTGATGAGTTTCCGTGTATGTCAAATATCGGACTTAAGATCTTTTTTAAGAGTATGTAATTTTTCTGTCTAAATAACTAACTTTGTTCAGAAATATTATACAGTATAATTAGTTGCTTGCTGAGGAGATTTGTATAGCAATGGAGCCCAATAAATCCCTAAAATCTTTCAACATGAAGGAGAAGTATGTTTTAATTTTACATTTTCATGTCCTCTTCCATATTCTTTTCCTTTGTGCATTTTACATTTTTCCTGGAACAGCGAGAGAGTCAGAGAGAGCCTTCTACCTTTTCCCCCACTGTAATCTCTTCAAAGAGGCAGGCAAACATCAGACTAACTATAAATGTGCAAAACGACAGAGTGTGTACAAGTAAAAGTCAAAATACGTCACAGAACGCATATGCAAACACATTTATACAGAAGAAATTACAGGTGGCTTACTTATCTAATTAACAACCAGTGAAAAGGATTGGTCAATTAAAAAGCAGTCCAGTAAATCACATAATTAACGGCACTTGTGATTCTATCTGTACACATGTATTTACATATGGTGCATAATCTGCGTACTACATGGCGTGTAAATCGACCCCGCTGTTTGGGTAGAACCACTTGTCAAACCTTGGCAAGAGCTTATTGTCTGCAGCCCTTCCATCTGTTACCCCATGGTATCTGACTGAAGAGACAAACAAGATAAAAGGGCAGGTCAAAAGAGCCCAAGCTGGGCTCCATGCATCGCCCGACAATGATTTAATACAAATAATAACTATTTCAGTACTTTCCCCTATGAGCAAAATCTACATGCAAGTTGCGCCACATTTGCTCACTCAACTTTCTTTTATCACTCGCATGCTTACCCTCCCCTTCCTTACACTCTCACTTCCACTCAATCTACTACCTCTTTTTTCCTAGAATTTTTCTTATGGATCTAAATCCTTACAAAATAGGTTACAAGTTCATAAGTTTTATGATTTGACCCTACTTTTGTAGATGATAAGAGGGAGAAATGCAAAAAGTGGGGCTGTTGTATCCCCTTAAATTATATAATATACAGGTAATAAAATAATCTGAAAAGTATACATCTACTTCCGTTCCATACATTACTCTTGTTCGTACATATTTCATTTACAGCTTGTGTATTTGTTGCTAAGGTAAAAATGATGTACAGCGCCTTAAAGCTGCAAGGGCAATTTAATACTCTGGGATAAAGGTTGTCAGTAAAACAAAATATCAATTTATTTGGTTGCCTTGGCAATTGTGACCTTAACAGCTGTTCAAAATAACATTTAAAAATTGTATTAACAAATTGGTGAAAGTACTCTACATTTTGTGTTTATTGCTAACGAGAATCTGGCTTTTAACAAGAGGCTATTTTTATATCCATCTAATTTTCCAGATTTCTACCTCCTGCTCACTACTTACTGCAAATATAGAAAAAGCACATTCCATAATTGAATTTTCCAGCGGGAATACCAAATGGTGGCATTTAATTTCCAGTGGGAAAATTTGAGATATAGAATCCCAAAACCTATAACTTACAGTTTTGTCTGTCTACTACAATCAACCATAACTCTGATGGCAGGGTCCACATCCCAATCACGCTATAAGCAAACCCGCATTATTGTAACAGGATTGCTGAAAATGGCTTCTTTACCATAAATGGCTGCTGAAATTTGAAGCCATAATAGTAGGGAGAAGAATTCAAGTTGATAATTCCAGTGAAAAAGGGGTGCCCTCCACTGCTCCTGACCCCAACTCGGGTCCAAAAATCCCTGACAGTCCAGCACCCTGGGACGTCTTTCGGACGTGAAGGGCACTATATAAGTGTAATTTGTTGTTGTTGTACAACCAGCACAGAGACAGTGGCCATTCTTCTCTGCTGTAACATTCTACAACAATGAATTCTATGACTCTACCGCCTCGGTTCTACCTGCTTCTCTGCGGCGCTTGGAAGGAATGACCGTGCTTCCCAGTTTTGATGAGCGTCTTGACAGGTCTTTTGATTCATACTTTCCAGTAGTTATGTGCATCTTGTGAACAGCTGGATTTACATCATCGGGAATCATGCGGGGATTGTTTGGATTGAGATGTAAGGATTTCTTGCCATTTCCCAAGATGGTTTTGTAAATGCTCTTCCTGTTGCACTGACTTTGGTTGTAGGTCTGAAAAGAGATCCATCATAGAATCATATTAGAACTGACTCACAAAATCTGATCTAGAATTGAATCTACAACAAAAACTTGGATTTATATAGCGCCCTTCATGCCGGATGTGGCATCGCAGAGCGTTTCACAGTAACGGATCCTGGGGCCGAGCCGGGGCAGAAAGGTGACCAAAGGTGCGGTCGAAAACGTCTTCAGCAGAGACTGGAAAATAAGAAGAGAGGGGGCGAGGCGAAGGGGGTGAGGAAGGGAGTTCCAGAGCCTTGGGGCATAGTGGCTGAAGGCACGGCCGCCGAGGGTGGAGCGAAGAACTCGGGGAACAAGGAGGCAGCCAGACCCGGAGGAACGAAGGCAATGGGCACTGTTTTGAGGAGAGAGGTCAGAGAGGTAGGGGAGTGCAGAGGAGTGGAGGGATTTGAAGTCAAGGGTGAGGATCTTGAAGTCGATCCTCTCCGGGACAGGCAGCCAGTGCAGTCTGGCAAGGACTGGAGTAATCGGGTCTAGTTTTTATAAAACAAGCATTTTAAACACTTCAACTGGCAAACTTTGACACGGGTTCCATCAGTGAAAGGTGCTGACGGAGAAGTTAACAGCAACTTAAAAGCACAAGTAAAGCAAAAAAGTCTAGTTTTCAAATGCACTACATTATTTTCACAGCATTTACAGTTGTCTGGAAAACAACCAGGTGGAATTGATTCTTGAGGAGGACCTGGTGGAACAGATTGTTGAGGAGGATCAGACAGCATTTAAGAGCAGTGTGACTGGTTATCAGGTTCAGGATAGACACCAGGAAGCATTTCTTTACATAGGGGGTAACTGATGGCTGGAACAGGTAACAAAGAAACGTGGAAGAGAGCACAATAATGGATTCCTATAAGAAATCGCGTAACAGTGTAATGGGAAGGTAACATGGTGGGTATTCTGTAAGCGTTAAGATCAAATGGGACAAACAGTCAACTAATCTTGAGGGTACTTCTTCCCAATTCTACTGAGCAAATAATCAAACCATTGCATCAACTTCCAAAGGAACAGCAACCTCTCTAACCCAACTGTAAGCACCAGTGACTGGACACAACTATACCAACTACACCAACATCCTAAATATCAAAGGGGATTATAATTTTAATAGGTCGCTTTATACCATGAATGATGGCAGTTTCACAGTACAGTTTCCATGGCAGTCTCTTGATTTGTCTTGCTGGAGAGTGAGGAAAAGAAAAACGCACAGAGCTGAGAAACAAGGACTTTCTAGTATATCGACTATAAAAAAGAGGCAAATAGATTTTTCTCCACTGGTACCAGGATGCCATGAATAACACTAGAATGTGCAGATGCACAGAATAAACATTTTCCATAGATCACAGAGCGGTTACACATCGTTGCTCGACTGCTCTCTGTGCTGCTCTTCACTATAGGAAAGCAAATCCCTATTAGTACGAGGTCACGGCATTGAATCTATAATCTCACAAAGCGGACCTGTGCCAAATCCCAGAGTGTTGGAAAGGCCGTTCCAGGCTGCTGGCTACAAAGCAGGATTAACATAGATCTGAGAGCAGATTGCTTATGTTGGGAATGGTTAGAGGGGAAGAAAAGGAACTGGGAGAGGGAAAATTTAACCCAGGTCCATATTGCAAAGTGGTGCACTTCTCTTTCATATTATGTTAGAAATATTTTTTCAGCTGAGTTTTTTTTAAAAATCTGCTAAGGAAGTTAATTCCTCAAATGGTAAGGAGAATCCAGTGTTGGCAGCCGCAAAACAGCTTTAAACCTTCCCTCGTATTTCTCGAACTTAACAACAAATTGCATTTATATAGTGCCTTTCATGTCAGGATGATATCCCAAGGTGCTGGGATACATAATACACGTAACATTTTAACAAAATATCCCTCAGTCAACAATCTTCAACAGTTTACTGCGGTGCAGCTGCACCTTTTTAAATTCGGTAGCATTTCTTGAGCTCTATTTGTTGGATGAAAAGAAGAAATTTTCACCAAGCATTTGGCAACAGTATTATTACCTTGGACAAGTTGGAGCTGGAACGCTAGGCATATTATCCTTATTCAAACAGGACCATGGGAACCACTTATCTTTATAATGCACAGAATCAGTCGCCTCTATTTATTTTAATAAAACTAGAGCCGTATGCATCTACACTGCTTCAAAAAGCGTTTTATTTGAGCCACTTTTGATTCAAAATAGATTCCAAGTCACGCAAATACAAATCTGTGTTTGATAAAGCAAACAATACCACATGTACTGCACATGCTGAACTGCTTTAGGGTAGGAGGTGAATGGGTTAATTTTTCTCCACTGGTATTGGAATGCCAAGAACCCCCCATAAAAGCAATTTTAACTGTGTTTACTCTCAAAATTTAGGACTTATCCAGACTCACCTTTTCTTCTCGTCCCTCTGCGAGGATAACCACGATTCTGCCTTTACGCTTGCGGCCAGTTCGACCCATTCTTTGCACCAGGCGAATAGGGCTCTTTTGAGCATCAAAACAAACAATGAGGTCAACTTCCCCAATGTCTAAACCTTCTTCCCCAACACACGTAGAAACCAATGTGTTATAGCCGCCTTCACGAAAGCGCTTCACAACCTGACAGTAAAGAAAGTCAAGAGAATATGAAAATTGACACTTTTAGTGTCGCATAGCTCCAAAACACTACTGCAAAGGATTGACATACTATTCATTCCAAAAATTGAAGGTTACGATTTTGATTATGGTCATCGTTTGTGAAGCGAGATCTCTGATGTGCAAGTCAAATACTTCTCATGTCAATGCATTTTAAAATCAATTTGGTCAAAACTGCTATACAGGGATAAACAAGATGGGGACAAATTTAGCTCAATTTGAGTGAAGCCCTCTGAGGCATGATCCTGCACGAATGGTACTATATAAATGTAAATTGTTGTAATAATAAAATAAGATTAAGCAGAATTGGCATCTTTGTGGATAAGAATTATGAACTCTTGTACTTATGAACAAATAACTAAAAATACAAACTTCACCTTATTCTTATTTAAATTAAGCGTCCTAAATCGCTAACATTATTCAAATACAATATTCTTGCTGCACCTTACAATTTGGCTTTATGTTAAATTTTGGACTTGTTATATATTTTTTCAGTATTGCTAAAACCCCTTTACCTCTTATACTCAGGAGGTTACCTCAAGCTGTTCTTTCTGTGTAAATCCCTTCATGCTTTTTCCAGAAGAATGTCCAACAAATGTCATGACTTTCACAAGAGGTTGATGTTGGGTTAGCATTTCCGCAATCTCCTGGACACTGTCACGGAATGACGAGAAGATCATGACACGAGTATTCACCACATCACTTTTTCTTCCAGGTGCACTTAGATCTGCAATACAGTGATTGAAAAAATAATAAGTCCACTGTTTGCAAAGTGGACTTACCATAAAATTAAGGCACGCTCAATGAATCATACCTATTAAACACTTAGCTATGAATTTTCTTTTCAACCTTTTACAAAACACAGTTACTACGCTTTACAGTGAATCCTGTGAAGTGCTTGGAATGTCCTTAAGATGTGAAAGGCACTGTGCCTAACATAAGGATCATCATTATTATGTAAATCACTGCATAATAACATAAGCCAGACTTTCAACTGGAAGTTTACAAATACAGGCCCGAGAGACTTACAGAGGTATTACAGCATCTGTAGATTCTAGTATAAGCTGCAAACCAAACAAGTTCATCATTTTGAATGCAAGTCTACTGGGGAAACTAGTTCCACATTGCCAACTACATGAAACACGATACAGTTTGGCAGACAGCAAGCACATGTACAGCAACAACTACAATAATCATCACAGCTGTACCCACCTGGTTAGGGCAGAATGGATTGGCAAGAAACAGTTACATTTGTAGAGCAGCAGAATTCTTTTTTCAAAAAATCCTCCAACAGTAGAGTAAACATATTTTTATATAATAACCTGAGATACACATCGTGAAAAAAATTCTGAAAAGATCTTTATAAAACAACTGTAGCAGCAAAAAAACGAAAATACATAAGTCACATCGGTCGGGATCATAACATTAAATACAACTTACACAAAGGCCGAGTTGCAGGGAAACTATTTAAGTCGGATAAATTCTGATTTAATCAATTATCTACTCTGCACAGGCATCAACCGATCAGGACATAATTTTCCCCAATTCAATGCAGCTGATAAGTGCAGAAGTAATGGAGTATAGGGGCTGCTTTACGAGTTAGGACGTGATTAACATGAATAATGCAAAGAAATCAAAGTGGTTATGATCAGAAACAGAATAGGACTCAGGTGAATCCAAGACTTGGGCGATTGTTGAATTTATATAAAGATCAGACTTAGGTGAGTTTTACTGAATCTCCATTTCATGCTCAGCATAGCAATTATGTGCAGTTTTATTTTGAAACAAAACACTTCAACAATCCTGGAGTGACTCAATTACAGCAGCAAACAATAACATCAAAGTTTAAAAAGCCTCATTTATTTGCTGGATATTTTGAGTATATTGGTAGGTAAAGGTCGTTGACCTTTACAGTGTACAGATGTACAGTGTACAGATAAATATTACCTTGAGATTCCACCCAGGACTTGAAATGATCCACTACAACATCTTCAAGCTTTTGAAGCTTGGGATGACTGTAGATAAATGGCTTTTCTTTTTCAATTCCTGAAATATTAGTTTTAAAGACCATTTCATTATCAGGGAAAAAGACATGAACAGATCACTTGCAATATAAGGGACTCATGACATAGACAAAGATTTTGCAAAGGCAAGAAGGAAATAGTTATTGTATAAATAGGAGAAGACATTCTAATTAGGGTTTTAAGTATTGAATTATTGTACTTTTCTGCATGAAAGCAAATAAGGCTTTAGGATACTCCATTGAACAATCTGAAACGTTTCAAACTCTTTTTAAAAAATGTATTTAAATAGCTGATCATGCATCTGGCTCTTTAACATCAAGAATGTAAGCCGCAAATTCAACAGTCTTCCAAATTACCAAGATACAATTGCGCAGGACCCTGAAATTGCGGAGGTGAGGGGGAGGGGGGAATACAGCCCCAAATAAATGCAATGCAGAGGAAGAAGAATCAGTTGCCTGCCAACGCTTCACTAGATACTGAACTGCCAAAAGCTCCCAGTAAAATAAGTGTAGCATTAACCATCAAAGGTACCTGCGATAGGATTGAGTGTACTGCTGTTTGCAAACAGAGTGTCCAGCTGTTGATACATCATCATAAAATTGGTGTTCTTGTTGAGTTCATTTCGTGCTCGTATCATACCTAACAAAAACATTAAGAATTTAAAAATTTTCTTCTCTGAATTCTTTTCAACTTTATTCTAAAAATACAGATTTCAGCTTTCTCGAAATATGAACAGTCGCTCAGTATAATAAAACAAACCTGAACCTTTCTAATAACCCTGTTTTCAAAATGACACTATTACAGAACTAGTATAATATTTTCACAGCTTCAGCAAAAAAAATCCCCAATTAAAGTGAGAAAATTGGGGAGATCATGCTTCATCTGAGATTATGGACATTTATGGCACAAGCCAGCAGTAAGATCAGAATGCATTCTGGTTTATCGAATTGAATGTTTTTTGAGATTGTGATCCAAACAAATTGTGATCACAAACAGATGCTGTTTATTCAAAACAAAAACACAAATTATGTTCTGATGACAACTGTCATTTCTGAGGATCCCAAAAAACAGTTGGGACTAATGTCAAACCCTCACAGAAAGATCAGACAAAGCAACAGGACAAGAACAGGCTCATCCAGACCCACTCTTTCATCTACATTTTGGCAGATCTCTTGCACTGTTGAAAGAATTACTTGACAGAAATTCATTTCGGACATTATTTTGCTCAACTTGACTCTCTATGAAGCCCTACAAAGCCCATTCCAAGATCTGACAAGTGTTCTACATCTGGAGAATGTCTTCTACTACCTCACACAGTACATACCACAGACAAGTTATAGAAACGTTATGCCGTATAATAAGGACATTATTAAGGCTATAAACTTTGCCAATCAATTGAATTTCCAGCGTGAGCATTCTAGACAAATTACCCACAGTTACATATCTATAAATTGTGCAGAGACTAATTATGAGAGTTGTTATGTGGGTGTATTCAATCCAATGCTTTGCTAAAAGGAAATTATGTATAAAAATAGAAGAAAAGAGGGGTAAACTCGTTGATGTGGTTTAATTTATTTCCATTAAATACTTACCTTTAGAGCCATCGATGATACCTTTGAGGTAGATATATAAGGATCGTGTTCCCATTTGCAATAGAAGTTCGTATCCATGATAAAGGCTAATGCAAAGAGCAAAATCTCCTTCCATCATGCCTCGTTGAGCTGCCTGACAGAAACACCAAATATTAGGCAGGACAGACAGATAAATCTACAATACTTTTCCTCACATTCCCTAACATGTTGCATGCCAAATATGTTAGGCGAACATAATGCATAAGAACATTAGGTCTAACAGCAATACAGATTTGATAACGGCCTATGTACAAATTGTCCACTGCACAAGCAAGCAGCCCAATTTATCTTTAAGGTTAGATTTTGATGAGGATGAAAACTGATGTTGCTCAAAATACATTTCTTCAAACCTGTACATAGCTATACATTGCTGAAGGATTAACCTGCTTTTCCACTGTTACTGTCTTTATAGTTTTATTATAAATCCCTAGCCATTTCCCTCTGGCAGATTGTTCTGTGGTCTGTTTGACAAGACAATGTAGAAGACAATTATTCTGCACCTTCATCGATGTAGTCATCTACAATGGCTATGCAGAATTTTGCATTCTGCAGATTAAGAATACAGTTAACCTAGATTTTGAAAACAGAACAGATGTAGATTTAAAGCTAAATCACACTTCTAAGAATGAGATTATATATTAGAAAAATTCTCTGTACTGGTATATTTCTGTAGAATAGTTTTGCTTAGCCCTCTTCTTCTCCCACAACATTGAGAAATTAGAGCTTGTTACTGTCCCTATCACCCCCATCCTCACCTGACTCCACCGGCTTCCCATCACACAGAGGATACAGTTCAAGATCCTGGTCCTCACCATTAAATCCCTCGATGACATTACTCCCCCCTACCTCTGTGACCTCCCAACTGCCTAACAACCTGCCCGCTCCCTCCACTCAGTGGGCTCCAACTTGCTTCACATCCCCCACCTCACCCGCCCCACCATTGGCGGGTGGGCCTTCAGCCACTCTGCCCCCACCCTCTGGAACTCCATCCTGCAGTCCTCCTGCCTAACCCCCTCCCTTGCCTCCTTCAAGACCCAACTCAAGGACCTCCTCTTCAACATTGTTTTCAATCACCCTCCTTCCCCCACTGCCCTCCAACCTTCCTGATCCTGACGTTGCTCTGTATGATGCTCAAGGAATCAAAAGTTTAAAACATAAAATCAAGAGAGATCAACATTTTCACAAATCAAAACCGAGTGTCCAAATTAGAACTTTTGTCTTACAAATGCCAAATGTTCAGCTGTACATAGCAAAAACCCCACAGTAACAAGGACAAGCATATTACTTACTATCATATTCACTGGTGGATCTCTTCTGAAATGTTCCCGTGCAAGAACAATCTGATACTTAGTTAAACTTGTTATATCTTTATTAAATAAGGCTCCAATCTGGATAAGACGCCTTGTGAATGCTTTCAAAACCTAAAAGCAAAACCAAGAGTGTTACAGCTTAATTCAATTAGAAAAATGAATTTCGCCCACAAAATACACAGCCACTACACTTTACAGTATATTCTGTGAAGCGTTTTGAGATGTCTTGAAGACATAAGGCGCTATATCAAATGCAAGAATTATTAAAACTAATCCTATTTAAGTGACCCATATATTGCAATAATTAGATCTAGTCATGCTACAAATAAATACGATGAGAGGTAGAGTTGGGTATTATCAGCATACATGTGGAAGGAAGAAATCTCATAGTGATGTTACATGTGAGACAGCATGAAGATGAGGAATATAAGAACGTAAGGGAAAGAGAGTACCAAAGAGAGAAAGGAGAGGAACAAAGGATATAGGATAATAAGCATACATCCCATCTTCATAGTGTTCTCACTGTAAACTGGCACTTCACCAGACTAGCTTGGTAATAATTTGCCTTGTTGGTGTCCATTAGGCTCTTCTGATGATGCATTTCCAATGGTTAAAAGATCGTTCACAATCAATTTATTCAGAACTTCTTTACTTCTTGCATCTCTCACAACAAAAAAGGGTGTACTTGTCCCCTTGAGTGCTGTAATTATTTTCCAGTATTTCTTATCTTTTCAACAAATAGACCTGTGAATGATTGATATGCTGCTATGCCATTCTAAACTCTCACGCTTATTATCTACCACTGTAGTATGTCATCAAAATACAGATCTTTTAGCAGGAACCGAAATCAGTGCAATCTCCATTCTTTCTCAAAGTTTTGACTGTCCATCAGACACAATTTGTGGAGTCCTGTAGCTTAGTGATTAGAGCACTCGGCTGGCAAGCAAGAAGATTTGGGTGTGATTCCCAGGCAGGGCGAAAGTTGGGGAAGTTTCCTTACTCCACGCGCCTCTGTAAGTAGGAACCTGATTGTTAGTCGATTGGTGGATCACTTTTCCAGGGGTAATAATCCCTTAAAAACAATTTGGTCACTCAATCCACGACTGGTTGTGGGACACTGCTGTATGCAACTGGCTGCCACATTTTACCCACAAAATATACAAGTCAATTCACTTTACAATGTATCCTATGAAGTGCTTTGAGACGTCTTCAAGACGTGATAAGGCGCTATATCAGATGCGAGAATTATTATAACAATATAACCTGGAGAAGGGGAAAGCAGAAGGGCTGCTCTACGTGTGGAAAAAGAGGAGGCTACGTGAAGGAAGAAATAAGTGCAAGGAGCAAGGATGATTGACACTGTGGGCGAGGGGAAGCTGGCACTGAGAGAGAGAGATAGAGGAAGGAAGGCAGGCTCCATGTAAGGAGAGAGACAGGGAATAAGGAAGCTGGCACTGTTTGTGTCTGGAGGAGAAAGGGGAGAACTGGCAGTGTGTAAAGCAAGGGAAGAAAGAGGAAACAAGGTACTGGTTAGGGGGTGGGGGGATGGGGAGAGAGAGAGAAAGGCTGGTTCTATGCTGTAGAGGAAAGGGGAATGAAAAGAACTAGGTTTCACATCTAATTCTTAGTTGTGACTAATAAGCTGTGTCACAGTCTTAATGCCACGATTTATTGGAAAAGGAATTCCAATCATTCCATACAAAAGATTAAAATGGACACCATTTGAAGCTAACCAGCTGTATATTACAGTAAATAAGCCTTTCAAAACAGAGCTGAACAGAAATAGAATAATGTGTACTGATATTAAGATAGTCAGTCACAATTGTAGCTTCTAAAAGTTGTTTCATCGTAAATAGACATGTGAATACTACAGCTACAGCATTCACAACACTTACCTTCAGGTTTTATTTTGAGACAAACTTTTAAAGTGGAATGACTTACTGCAGAAATAAAAACAGCTTTGGGAGAAGTATTATCACAGATACTATAAATCCATTGGAATTCAAATTAATATTCAGTTGAAAAAGGTACGCGGGAAATGCTTGCAAATTTTCTTTGGACAATCTAAGCAACAGCCAGCGTAAGAAAAACAAATGCATTGCTTCTGACAAATCTATCTCAGCCAGATTTCAGCAGAAGTTGCTGACCATATCTCAGTCGCACATTTCCAGAACCCAGCACGTGTAAAACCATTTCATCTGGACTGCCAAAACACTCTTATTTGGGACCACATGAAAGGAAATGCAATAAGCAACTTCTGTAATTCATAAAGAAAATAGTTGAACGCATGGGATATGAAATGGTCTTGCAGCTGTTTCTTCACAGTTTTCCAGTACCTGCATTCACATTCCAGACTTGATTTAAATCACTTGTCTTTGTTCCACTAAGCTCCAATACTACTTCCATTTGCATAATTTTCTTTCCAATGTCGAAAAAAATCAATGCTTTGACATGGGTGCTGTATTGTGAGGATGTTGTATTGTGAGACATATCAATTGCACAGAAATAATCAGACATACAATAAATGGGCTTAGCTGTTCTACACTGTTTCAATGATCTAAAAATTGTGCCTCAACAGAATTGCTAAAAAGTGAGAAAGCACAAAATTAATCATTTGAGTGAAATTTCAATTTGGTGTTGCATGTTAATACTGGACTTGTTGCACCCTTTTTGTATCAGTGAAAACGTTTATTGACGTGTGGTGAGGGAGCAGAAAGAGAAAGAAGTGTGGATTTCTAAAAGGCGCAGGATTTTAATGCATCTCTTGCTCACTTAACAGTTGGTTCAAGAGTAAAGTAATGAACCATCGAAATTTACAGAGTACCATTTAGACCACCACATTCATACATGAGAGATGGGAATAGAAGAATACGGGAGAGGGGATTAGGGTGTGTGGCGGTTCATATGAAGTATAAACACTTGCATTTACTAGTTAATTCAAATAATAATAATCCTTACATTTGATATCACCCCTTTCACAGGAGGATGTCTCAAAGCGCTTCACAGGATATATTGCAAGGTGCATGAATGTGTATTTTGTAGGTGACTGTGTTTCTATGCTGTAACATTTTCATATGTAGCAATGCTCTTAAGGTGAGGTGCAGCAATATGATTTTTCCAATGGTTCACTGATGACCTATTTACAATAGAACCCCATTATAAAGCAGTAGTTGGGGTTTAACGCAGATCAAAGAGTAACTACATTTCCACATTGTGGCAAAAATTTATCATTAACGAAAATAAAGAGGTAAAATCCGCATAAAAATGAAAAGGATTTGATCTTGTTTTTCTGGCAAGAACACGGTTCTCCTATTTTGGATAACTATTTTGCCGGAGATATACCAATAAAAAGCTGCAATCTTCCAATCCGGTCTCCTTCAATTGTTGCGATAACAGTAATTCTAAACAGGACTCAGTAGGACAGTACATCCCTACTACATGCCATGCAGGTGCTCATTTAGTCCAATTAAAAACCATCAGTGATTACATAACTAACCTCACTACAAGCAAATTTAACCTATGTGCCACTTTTAGTTGTTCATATGGTGGAAAGTACAGCAGTGAGCTGTTAACTGAATAACAATAATCCTTGCATTTGATGTAGCACCTTACCATGTCTACCATACGTATCAAAATGCTTCACAGAATATACTGTAATGTGAATTGACTGTATATTTTGTGGACGAACATAGCAGCCAATTGTGCACAGCAGTGTTACCCACAAAGAGTCGTGGATTAAGTGACCAAATTATTATTATAAGGGATTATTACCCCCGGAAAAGCGATCTGACAACTGACTAACAACCAAGTTCCTACTTACTGCAAGGTAAACAGAGGCATATGGAGTAAGGAAGCTTGCCCAACGTTTTGCCCTGCCTGGGAATGGTGAGCGCTCTAACCACTTAAGCTACAGGACTCCACAAATGAGTTCTAATGGTAGAACTCAGTTTTCAGCTCCTGGAATTAAAACAAATCAACCATCAGATTTCTTTCTCCAAATACATCTTTTACACTTCAGTGTCAGGAGGATTCACTGATGAAATCGATTGGACAGCATTGAGATTGCATGTACAGAGCAATGTTTATGCCATTTTATAAAGTATGTGTCTCTTAGATTTTCTTTTGTGCCAGGGTAAGTCTTTCTATTCACTTTCTTAGCACCTGTAATTTTGTCACCTAACTTCTCTGCAAGAGAATTCAATTTAAAATCCAACTAAAAACATGTAAACACATTGGCAAGCCTTTGTTTATTTTACTCCTGGGCTTTTCGAACAGTACATCGCAACTATTGACACAATTCTGAATTACAAAGAGGTAATTAACAACTAGAACTATTCACCAGGAAAGACGATTGTGGGCAGGACACGGGACTCATTTAAAAAGCTGCTTGGAGGAGAACAGTGAGGTGGGTGTTCTGAAAGAATGAGAGTGGATGGGCCGAAGGGCCTTCTTCCTCCAAACCAATGTTGTGATCTTGTGATTCCATGCTGCATTTCTTGTATACTTGTGGTTTCTTTGTAAGTTAGAAATCTGACCAGTCCAAGTAATGTACAATACACCAGAATGAGTGTCTTAGAAGTCAGACACAATCTTTACCAAGGACATTGACAAATAGTTTAATAACTGCAATATCCAGATTGATGTTTCAACAGACAGAAAACATTTTTTGTATTGGTGGAAAGAGAAAAAAGAAATGTGTCAGAACGCTCCACTGTTTGGGAGATATTCCATTTCCTTGATCATTGCACGCTGATTTACAGAATTTTAAGATAACCTTATATTACCAGAACTCTTGCAGCCATTAAATAAAATGTTGTTGTGAATTATACTACTTCTGATTGTTCACCATGTAAATGAATCTGATAGTGACCTTTCTAAGATCACCCACGGGAGACTGGGGTGGGGGCGATTGAAGACATTGAGCTTGTACTACTACATTAAAATCCCGGTGAACATCAGGAGAAAAACAGCTAATTTTACACTTTTATTTGAGCACATAGCTCTATTATTAAACTAAAACTCTCAGCAGACTAGCATTAAAAGTCTGACCTTTATAGATTTCCAACAAAGAAAAAGATCTTATTACAAGGAGAATTTTGCATTTGTTTAAG